ACACCTGACGGCTGTTTGGTAGACTCATTAGTGATCACCGAAGGGCAGAGTCCCAGCGAATTCGACGAGGACGGTGACGGGTACTACGAAACCGACCACGATCAGAGGAAGAAGGCCCTTATCATTTCCGACCCTATCCATACCATCGCGCTCAAAGACTACCTGCACTCTCAGCTAAATGAGCTAAAAAGGCAGGTTGGCGAGCAGCAGTACCAACAGCTGTGGCAGTTGGTCGATGCGGATACGATATCGCAGTTGAAGGATTATGTTACGTTGTGAAAAGTGGCGGCGTTGAATGGCATAGTCTAGATGAATTAGGATTTGGATTTGACTAATTCGCTAGTCTGTGTGTTCATATAACTGAAGTTGAGCTCTAGTATAGCACTTTAATGTGGAGGAACTAACAGACCAGCAAAAGTGAATGAGTGTGTGGAAATGCCAAAATGTAAGTGTTAGTGTCATTTCCAACGAATTCGATTAGATTAGGAGCCAAGTCGATATAATGTTTACATTGGATTGTTTGTCGCCAAAATTGCGAAGTTTCAGTGCATACTTTTGACTCATTTGACTATCATTGCCTACCAAAGTGACAACATTGTATCAATATAATATTAGTACTTACTGGTCGAAAGTTTACCTTCATTATTATCTGCAAAAAATAACCCAAAAAATACAAATATAATGAAGAACTGTCAAAAAAAAAATAACCAATGTCAAGTCCACTTGTAGTATTCCATTCATCCTGACTACAGACTGATATTTTGGAGACAAACAAATCCTAGGTTTGCTCCATCTAATTAGTCTGGATTCATTGACTAGTCCTGATTTCTCTATCTTTTTATTTTCCCAATTCATCATGTTGATTTGTTTTCGGGATCGGGTAATCTTGAGCAACCATGATATGACCTTAATTGCAAATATTACAATGTTGTAAAGACCATCTTAAATTGCTCAAGAATCCGTTAGTTTTAGGTGCCACACATTCTCTTAAATATCGCACCAGTTTTCGTCAAATTTGGGTGTGTCTAATAGATCTGGAGTAATACACTCACTAGTTTTTATTTTATTTATATTTCATTTTGGCATTTTACATCACCTTACTTTCGGTTAGTTGCTATTTCCTCCATAAGTGCAATACTGACCTTCCAAGCAGTCAATGTACGTTTTATTGAACTTGACTTTGACAGGTAATCCTATTAGTTGGAGGACAAACACAAATAGATCAGTGTAAATTAGCTCCACCATTTTAGCGTATATCTTTTGAATCCTTGGAGTAAATAGTCGGGAATCTGCTGGAAATTGTGATTGTTGTTGCGTTATTTGGGAAGAGTTATTGAAATGCCTTTATTTATGCAGTGATGAATTGCTTAAGGAAGGATTTTCAATAAATCCTTTTGAATACAGTTTTCTCCCGATTATCCGAGCCAACATGGGCTGGACCCCCTCTCGGATAATTGGCGGTTCGGATAATCCGACTTTATTATACAAATTTCTTTAAATGGACAAATGCATGACTGTTCTTAATTATTTAATTGTAAATAAAGATATAGAAAACTCGACAAAAATAACTTAAAAAATGTGTGTAGCATATATAAGTAAAAATATTACATGCCTTAGAATAACTGTGAATAAGAGCTTGTTTCTTCTGGGAGTTTCTGTTTCTTGCTGCGTTATTCCTCAGTCTTCGTAAAAGTAAAACGTCTAATACGGTGGACTCGGGTTGCTGTTCTTCATACTGTAAAGCTCTGTCTAAAGCAGTAAAACCTTGATTTGAAATACGATCGACTATAATAACCTTTCTATCTTCCTCTTCTTTTTCAAGCTGGTTTACTTCTGCAGTCTGTTCAGAGGCAGCTATTTCCTCCATAGAAAGCTGTTGCTTGGGGTCGTCAGAGGTAATCCATTCTCCAACATCTTCTTTAGCGTCTTCGCGTCCTTTTTAATTTTTTCATTAAATCAAGCAAGCTCAACTCATCTTCGGCATCTTTTATTTTAGAGCCAGCATGCTTACAGGCAAATCGTCTTCTGTGTCAACGTCCGGGATCCAAAGATTTTTCCAGGTTTTTTTAATTGTGGATGCTCGTACCGATTTCCATGCTTGACTAACCCACTGATAACATCTTTTAAGGTAATATGTTGCAGAGATGTGGCAAGGTCGTCATTTTCTGTTAATTCCATCACATGTTCAAGAAACAACCGTCTATAATTCTTCTTTGGGTTTTCAAGCTGCCGTTTCCCGTTTTGATGCTAGTGACTTTGACAGAAGCAACTTAAAGTTAAGACCAGTTATAGACTTGGTCCAATGTGTAACGTTCTATTAGAATGTTTGCTTAAAATTGTCAGCAGCATTTGTATCTGCTGAAAGCTGTTCCCCACATACAGCTAACTGGCGCACACCACATGTCTTCTTCCAACGAGTAAACTAACCATCACTGGCTGTAAAATGGTCAAGATCTGAAAATTCCCTATTTATCATGACGGATTTTTGCTGTAAAATTGGTCCAGAAAGGGGAACGCTTTTTGCTCTTTGTTGCGTAAACCATGTAAACAGTATTCGATTATTTTTTCAAATTCTTCCCACTTCATGGATGTTCTTTCAAAAGAAGTCGAAACTTGCTTGCTGCACCACTGTTCAATATTCTGCCGATTTCTTCTCCAGTCCCCTACTGTTACCTTGCCTACCCCATATTCCCTTGCTATTGCCGCCACTGATTCACCAGCATCCAGCTTTTAACTTCTCATCGACTGTTACAACTTTTTTCTTTTACTTTTTTCCATCATTTATCTACGACTTTTTTTATTATTGGAATGTCGTAAAAATGTACACATGTCCGTTTGCTCCCTTCACTCGTTCAGCACGAAATGACACAGCGAACTAAATCGCCGATCGTCGACTTCTGATGATGCGACAATTCGGTGATTACCCGTAAAGAACATGCTATTTACACGTAAAACTCGAATAATACGGCGGCTTTTTCTGTTAGTGCAGATTTAGCGCTTATTAGTGTTTTGCAGTATGTTTGTAGGAATCATTCGGTTAATCCGGCGATTGGAAAATCGGCAGTCGGATAATCGGGAGACTACTGTAACTGAATAACTAACAATTTCCAACATATTTCGGATTATTTACACCGAGAATTCAAGAGATATGAGCTTGAATAGTAGATCTAACTTACATGGAACTAAATGACAATTCGTTTGTGTTTGTCCTCCAACCAATAGGAGGAACTGTCATAGTCACGTGTTTGAAACTGGTGTACAGTAGAGTAATGTTTTTAGGTTCAATAAGACAGTTTTCTATCGCATAAAATTTATAATGGAACCAGATTAGCGAATTAGTAAAAAACCCAGTGAATCCAGATTCATCTGGACTGTGTGTTTAGATGAGCTTGAGTATGGTAATGGTCATTTCTCATATTTACTTTCATCATTGATTAGCGTAGTCTACTTGAAGATAATCAATCTAATACTATATTCCCGCGTTCAAAAAATGTAGCATGTTCTATGAGAATCTGTCAGAGCTATGCTTCTGCTCTCCGTACTAATTGGACACCTACTACAGAAAGGTTATTGTCTGGTAGAAGACAGTATATTAGCACATAGTATATATTTGGCTACAGCGCCATCTATAAGACTAACCTTTGCAAAGTAGATTTCTAATGAGTGCAAACAGGAGAAACTTTGCTATAAGAAATTCTCATAGATGGTGCTCTGGTATGGCGTTTAATTTTGGACGCGGGAATATAGTATTAGGTAGGCTATCTTAAGGTATAATATGGCGGAAATCTTAAATATTGATTTCATGATATTTAATTTCACCATTTTCACTTATTATTTTGTTGATCACATTGTCAAATCAAGTTCGAAGAGGACAATAGAATGAATGAAACTAATGTATAGATTATTTTTTTAGCCGTCAGGATCAGAACGTGAGATCGTTAATCCTCTAGATTTACGCTTTCTATTAACATATTTTTTGTAGACTGTGTTGTTTTTAGTATGAAATGTGAAAATCATGTATAAAGATCTATCGTTATATATTTATATGTTGTAAATATACTGTACAAAATACGTTTTGTATTTCTTTCATTTTCCTCTGATGCGATTGTTGGTAGTTCATTATATATTTTCATTGCTCGCTCACACAAACTATCGAATTATACAGGGTATCCCATTTTAACCTGGAAATACTTCGAAACTTCTACAAAAAAAAGATTCAACCAACAGTTCTAGGGCTTTGAAGGGCAAAATGATGATGACCTTGACTACGAACTTCAAGGTAAGGGAATATTTTCAAATGGAACCGCCCCTCCTTTTTCACATCGGAATTGAAAAGAGGGCAAAATTTATGCCCGAATATCGTATGGGCCATGACCTTGATCATGGCCTTCAAGGTGTAACCAAGACGTTGAAAATGATTTGCTATAGCAAAAATGTTCGACAGCCCAGTTGAAAGGTTTATTGGCATCACCCAAGGTTGAGAAAGGAAAATTCTCATTTTTCCACTGGAGATAGATTAAGCAGAAACATTTACGTCCAAATGTGACCTTGAGCTGAAAGTCAAGGTCGTGCCAAGCTTGGAGGTTATTTGACGTCAAAGTCGCATTCGGACCTGAAATTTCCTGCTTTTTTCAGTATAAAAATGAGAGGTTTTCTTTGGACCTTGGTGACCTTTGGGTGATCATCACAACTGTGCTGTCGAACACTTTTGCTAGAGCAAATTATTTTCAATGTCCTGATTTGACCTTGAAATGACCTCAATGACCATGGCCAATGTGATATCCGGATGTAAAATTTCCCCATCCTTTCAATTCTGATATTAAAAAGGGGGTTCCATTTGAACATATTCACTTGACATTGAAGGTTACCATCATTTTATCTACCAGAATGTGCAGTTTTAGAAATATCTAGGTGAGGAGATTGATATAAGACATCCTGTATGAAGCATAACAACAGTGATATTGCAATAAATGAGTTATTCTACTATACGCATTTTTTAGATTTTAGCGTCGATTCCATACATAGTAACCTTCTTTGAAGACACGGCAGCAATATTCAACAACTTGTGGATGCGAGCTTTCCAATCCTTCTCTAACCTAACGGACGTTGTCGAAAAGGCTGTTGCAGAAATCTCTGACGTAGTCTGCTGTTTCAACTGTCCTTATGTCAGAGTGATAGGGTGGGATGGAGAGAATAGTCGAATTAAATCAAACTTCCGCTGCAGAAAATGTTCTCTGAATAACGTTGAGGAGAAACATGATATACTTAAAATTGTGAAAGAAGAATTTGGCGATGAAGTGGGGACGGTGAATTTTCAGAAGATTAGAGGAGATGGTCCGTTGATCACAACGGCACTGAAGCAGATATTGATGTTGTTGTCAACAGGTTGAGTATTTTTGTTTCTATTATAAAATTGTAGTGAGTATTGAAAAAGGTCGAGCAGTGAAATTTCGGAAGTTAGGAGGGTTATTATGTAAAACTCATTAACTTTGGAATCGATTTTATGACAATATTTGCAGATTCGTTGGAAATATAGTGCACAATAATCTTAGTTATGTATCATAAAAATGTCATTTAAGTGTCTAAAGCTAGAATTACTATTCAAGTTGTACTAAGCCAGTGAACTTAAAAAGTGAAAAAGTATATTAGATCGAGTTTTCTCCACTACATTATATTGTGAATTGAAATCTATAAAATGTGTATATGTATAGGATGAGCTTTTAGTATGGGCACCGTTATTATTACTCTTGCTATCTAAAAAAGTTTATAACAAAAACTGCGGCCATCAGTATGCTCCTTACTTGGAAACGAAACAATTTGTATGCAACATACTATAAGGCTTTATTTTTCAATTGTTGAAATATTGTACAATCTTGAAGAAAAACACGCAACTTTGACAGCTCTGCAACTGCCACAGCTAGACTACCGAATTTTTCGTAGAAGGAGCTTATGATCCCAGATTTTCTTCCTATCCACTGTTTCAGTTTTTTGATAAGCTATACAGGGTCGTCAAGAACGCAAAATGAACGATTTCTCAAAAATTTCTAATAGTAGTAGTAGTATATTTTCACACTTTTAAATTCCCCTTTTCACAAGCTTTTTTTTTTTTGATATAAGGTCTATGGGAATTGGTAGGAATGATTTTTGAGTTATAGCTAACTTTTTTGAAATCTGATATCAAGGTGAATGAAAAGTATTACAATACATTTCAAAGTGGAAATAGTATTCAATTAGTAATGGCAGACGGCTAAAGTTTATGCATTTTCATTATAAATTAAATCTACCAAACCTTAGGCAATAAAGTCGGGAAGTCAAGGAGATGTCACTGTGTTTTTTGTAGCTCAAAACCAGTTGTACGAACCCCATAAACCTTCTATCTGAGAAAACATGTGGAAACCGAAATTAAAAAGTGTGAACATATACGGGGTGTTTCATTTGAAAAATTGTTCATTTTGCGTTCTTGGCGACCCTGTATAAACTAACAAAAAAATGAAAAAGTAAGTAAAGGGCGAAATTTGGGATAGTATAATTGTTCTGACGAAAAAATGATTCTCTAGTTATAACAGTTGTGGAGGTGAGAGTTGTCAAAGTTAAATGTTTTTTCGACAGTTTGCTTAATATCTCAACAATTTGAAAATAGAACCCTATATAGTTTGTTATATGAAACTGCTTCGTTTGGAAGGACCTATCTGAATCTGCAATAAAATGTAGGTCTTTCCATTCAGAAAATGTATGTTTAGGTCACCACGTAATTACGAATCACCCTGTAGAAATACAAATATTTTCCAAGTAAAGAGCATGCTGTAGGATAAAATTCCTGTGGCTGAACATACACAAAAAATTCACCCTGTATATTGTAATTATATCACAATCTACATGAATTATTTGTTATTTTAAAAGCGTCAACTTTTCAGCCAAGGAGTGTATAAAAATCAAGTGCTTAGAAACGTTACCAGCATTCGCTGGTCATGTGACTCAATTCCATTCAGTAAGTGTTACAAAGATTTGGATAGTCCTATTTGAAGAACAAAACGATGATGTAAAGAAAAAGGTAGTTGAGGTTGTGGGTGATCTCGTGAGGTATAACCAGGTGAGACTCAGTCTGTAGTTATAGTTACTTTAGTTATTGTTCTTACTTAATGTTCTTCATCTCAAATAAGATATCCTTGAAAGGTATTTTTTTAGGAATGTGATGTAATTACTGAATTGGTGAAGACAGACATCCTGCAAACCATCTTCACACAGCTCCTAACTTTAACGAAAAAATCCCTGAAATTTTCCAAATATCAAGAACAGTATCGTCTTCTTCAAATTATACAAGAAATAACTCTGACGAAGAAAGACTATATCGTTTTAGAGTCGATGAAAATCCTTCTTTACTTCATAATGATACCTACCTCGAAGTATTCCCTCATCGCCGTAAATGCCTGTTTTAAATTAGCAAAGAGGAATGAGACGGCAACTACGGATATTTACAAGGAGAATAAAAAAGAAATGTGCGAAGTAATCAGTTATTTGTGCTCGATGAATCAGGCTGTGATCAACTACAGTTTGGCTACATCTTTAGAGAAGGTTTCGCCAATGTTTGGATTTTACGGTTAGTAAATATACACCAATATTTGATATGCTTCTAGGCGTAGACTTGAATTTCACCAAGTGGGATTTTTTTATTGAAGTAAATCGAGGTTTATAAATGTTTTATTTTAAGGGTCGAAGGATTTTGTGACACAGGAGAGTAACTACCTGTTACCCTTCCTCGTACGAAAAGTGGTGAAAATGCCGGCGGTAACCAAATTGATTCAAGAAATGGCTACCATGCTTGATATGGAGATGCCTGATATGCTTGCTTGCAAGTACGGCTATATATTCATTCAAATCTTCTTAGATGACTTGTCAAAGGAGGAATTCAAGCAGTGCATGAAGTATTTAGAGAAAGCTACCAGCATGAGCGGGCCATCTTTGAGAAAGCGAAATTTTAGGGTAAGTACAGAGTATTATCTGTTACCCGTATGTTTTATTCTTTTTAATGTCTATCTTGGCCAGAAAATGATCTGGTTTTTGCAAAATTTTACACGTGTATTCTGTTCCAGATTATTTTAAACAAGCTTCTTCTGAATTTTCACGAAAAGAAGGATAATGTGTTGCTAGCTTTGATGCTTCTGGCAGAGGAAGACACTGAAAATAGAACAACACAGATTCCTGACTATCTACAACCGCACTTTCTAGGAGTGTTACAGTATTTCGATGGAAAACTAATGTCAAAGAATAATTCAAAGAAACGGAATATGCTGAAGAGTTTAGCGGACTTGCTCAGGTATTGCTTCGAGAATGTTGTATCCTAGGCTGCACCAGTATACAAGTGACTCTAAACATGTTTCTGTAACAATGATTTTCACATAATTTGTGTGCTGTGTGAAGTAGCTTGCAGCAGTTGAAGATTGGCTGAAGCATAGCTTCCTTTGAACGTTTTTTTTAATTATCTTACATTTTTTCTAGGTATATGGGTCCCACTCATATAATGCATCTCCGCTTCAAAATCATAGCAATGCTCCAAGCAACCAATTGCGACCAGCATCCAGAGCTGAACGTTGAAGTGTGGGATGCTTTCATTAGAACTTGTAAGATCGAATTTCTCAGTCCACACTTGGCATTGGTTTTTGTGTCCATACTGCCACTCCTGGACTCATGTCCTAGACAAGTAAATGACATCTTCAGATATCTCATTGTAGAGAATGAGGAGAATACAAAAAAATTCATACCGGATCTGTTCTTTCTTAACAATGATAAGATTGATCACGAAGTTCTCTGTATCATAAAAAGGTGAGATAGTACAAGAAATATGCACCCATATGAAGAGAATTTTTTGACAGTTAAAAATTTGTGTAGTTGTTAGTTTCATTGCTATAGTGAGGTATATCATTTGTTAATTTTTCACGAGATAGTTTTTGGTGGAGGTTTTTTAAATTTATCGTTTTTTCGAAGAAGCCTTGAACATTTTTAGTAATGCATGTGTATTGAAGGTACATAAAAGCTCTGGAAAAGTATAGCTTGAAAGAAAAAATCCAGAAATTCCTTAAGTACCTCACACATGAAGCCACTGAAGTAAAGATTCAAGCTTTGAGGCAGCTGAAAAAATATCTAGAACAAAACAGGGAAGAGTTGGACATAATGATATTGAATTACAATGGGATTGATACTGTAATAGTTGAATTGGTCGAAATTCTTACGACGGAGTGCAGGGAAAAGGATGAACAGTTAAAATTGGCTTGTGGACAGTTGATAGGCGAACTGGGGGCAATTGAACCCAGTCATCTACCGAAAAGGTGAAATTAAAAAAGCATTTTTAATAGCAAATAAATAAACTTATTCTGTTTTAATTAGGTGTTCCCATGATGACCAATCATTCTCATTCTATATCCATGAAGACTCGTTCATTACAGGTTGTCTGACTGAGTTGATCAAGAGATTACAATCTGAGTACAATCCTCAGGTATGTTTGTCAGTTTCTTATTTTCTGATTGATCATGGTGATTTCAGTTAATTTATAGCCTGTACTTTAAGCTTCAAAGTTTGTAGACAATATTTATATTTAGTAAACGACAACTTGAGAGCTGGGAAAAATGGGTGTCAGTGGAAATCGAACCCGCATCTTCTCCATTTCGTGGAGCCGACCTAACCAATTAGTCTACAGCACCAGCTGCCAATCAACTTTCAGGATCGACTGATAGAGTCAAATTTAATCCTACCCACGCCACTATTCCTTTGTTCTCTCTGGCGGCGCTTAAGTGAAACACACCGGATTGGTAAGATATCGCCAATCGCTTTCTAGTTGCATTACGCCGTCTCACGGGCACATACCACGGTACCACCGTTCGAGGTCACTAACCTGTATACGATTTTTCGGATGAGCGGATCCGTAACAGTGAGTTTGTTTAGTAAGCAACGCGCCGTGTTATAGCTAGACAGCGATTGAAGAGGCCTTACCAATCCAGTTTGTTTCACTTGAATGCCGCCAGATTGGTCATCAAGCAGCTTGAAAGAACCAAGGAACAGTGGATTTGGGTACGATTGAATTTCCCTCTAACAGCTGGTGCTGTCAAGTAATTGGTTAGGTCGATTCCAGGGAATGGAGGAGATGCGGTTCCGGATCCCACCGGCGCCTATTTTTCCTATCTTTCAAGGTGTTGTTTACTATACTTATTCGCCCTTCCGAAAAATCATGTAGAAATATGTATATCCTCTTGATAATCGAAATAATATATGTCTTATTTGAAGAACATGGATCGTTATGCCCTTGCTATTCAAGAAACTCTCAAGGAATACGAAATTTCTCCGGAACCCCATAGTTCCAGACAGTACTTATGGAACCAATTCTCTGACACTCATAAAGAAGTTATGCTGCCCTTATTATCATCCAGATATGTTATTTCACAGCCAGTTTTAGCAAACAGTTTCCCAACTCCTGTTTATGGATCACATTTGGGGACATCGTTCCATTCGTGGTTGTACAAGTAAGTAATATACATTTTTGAGAACTGATTTGCAAAATTAGTTTTGGTGATATTTTCCTAAGACTGCATTTTGTTTGTAGAAGATTTATCTCGCATTCATGCTGCAATGCCAATTTTGTATAATTATTCATTTACACATTTTTTTGAATCCATTTTCTGTAATTTTACATTCTTGTCTATTAAAATCACATCACTATTTTGAGTATTCATAAAGTGATTTTCTAATTTTACCTTAAACATTTTTCGAACACTGTTTAATATCATTCAATTTATAGAATTCAGACACTCCATTTTGAAATACGGATTTACTAGTTACGCTACTGTAATATTGCAATTTTGCAGATGAAAATCTATACTGCCTCTCATTTCGTAGTTATGCTAATTACTATTTAATTTTGTGAAAGTTTTCTAAATGTTATGGTAGTAAATGTTGTTTTAATTTGAATTTGAAAATGAGGTCTAAATAACATATGAAATTTTTTACATTCAACCTCTGTAGTTATTCTAACATAGACGTAATCCTAGCATATTTGTTTTTATTTAAAATGACTCTCATAGCTTTATTTTGTAGAATTTGTAATTTTGAAAATGTGTTTTCATTTGATGTAAACAAGATAGTTGAACAATATAGAAAATGGGGAAGAATTATAGTGTTATACATAATATTTTTGAAATATATACTAAGATTATGGGAAACTCTATAGAAGTAATTTATATTTTTTGATATTTTTAAAATAATGTATTCATAATGCTCGTGAAACAATAGCTTACTATCCACGTATATACCCAGATATTTAGATGATTCGACTACTTCAATTTTTTCATTAATCATGAGCCTTATTGTATTGTCACCTGAATCTTTCCCTATTGACATACATTTTGATTTAATTGTTTGATTACGTTTATTAACAATTAACCAATTCATCATTTTAATATCACTATTTAACACTTCTAAAACAGCGTCTAAATGTTTATGTACTATATCAGTGTATTGTCCGCAAATATTTGAATTTTGCAGAGTTCTAAAATGTCAGATATCATTTATATATACAGGGTGTCCGCAAAGTTGGGGTTTTCCTTTACACGTCGCGTAGTCGTTGAGAAATGAAACGGATTTTCTTAGTAGCATATACACCAATATCTTAAGAGAACCGAGATATTGAGCTCCGCAAACTCAGTCAAACCTGAGCCAAACCAAAGCCGGTCCTATCCCTCGATCAGACCCACAGCGCCAGCGTACAGTTATACGACGTACGACTACGATGTAAATACGCTAGTATGCAACCTAACCTAGACGCCGGTAGTCTACTAGTCGACATGCTGTTAGTTTACGGTGTCTTCAAAATGCGAGCGAGGCGCGAGTGTATGCAGATCGTTTTCCCAGACGTCATCATCCAAAGCCCCGTAGATTTGTTTACCTTGTGCAGAAACTCCGGGATACGGGTCGTTTGTAGGAATGTCGAGGTGGGCACAGTGGGAGACCTAGACAACCCCGAATGGTGCATACTGAGTACTGAATCTCGTAGACAAGAATCCTTCAACAGGCACTAATGACGTGGCTAGACCAATGCAAGTGTCGAAGAGTGCAACGTGTACAAGCCCTCCAAGGTGAGGATTTTCCTGTAATAGTGCGGTTTTGTGAGTGGTTGTCGCACCAACATGACAATAATCCGGACTTTTTGAAGTGCACATTAGTCACAGATGAATCTACATTCACGCATAATGGGGTGAATAACTTCCGCAATACTCATGTGTGATCAGTAGAAAATCCTCACGCTGTCCGACGGTCACAGTTTCAACAAACATTTTCTGCGAATGTTTCGGCTGACATGATAAACGGCATGCTCATTGGACCATTTATTCTCTCGAATCGGGTGGACGGGATAGAATACCTAGACTTTTTACAAAATATTTTACCAACCCTGCTAGAAGATGTTCCATTGAGTGTAAGACAATCAGTGTGGTTTCTCTATGACGGTGCACCGCCCAATTTTGGACGCGAAGTGCGTGAGTTCTTAAATGAATCATTTCCGAATAGGTGGATCGGACGTAATGGATCCGTAGCATGGCCTCCGCGATCTCCAGACTTAACAGCGTGTGATTTTTTCTTCGCGGCGAAATGAAACGCTTGGTGTACAAAACTGAGGTGCACACGGTTGACGAATTACGTCTGATAATTGAGCAAGCTGCTGCATTCATTCAGGGAAGGGACTCCAATCTAAAACCCTGCACCCATGCTTGGCTATGTCGAGCATGCACATGTGTTTTTGAATCCCACAGCAACAACTTTTCTCTTTTTTTTATATTTGTTACATGTGTTCCTCTGATTTTACGACAGAGCCGTACTTTGAATTTCAATTCAACTGAACAGTGAGTTCTTTTTCATCACTTTTTTACATGTTCGCTCCCGTTTCACCACACATTAGCTTTGTTACATCAATCATAGTTGTGTCTGAAAAGGAAAACCACAACTTTGCGGACACCCTGTATAATAAATCCTGTGGCACCCCTACTGATATATTTTGAATGCTTGGCATAATATTTCCAACTCTAGTTTTTTTACTTCTATTTACTAAATAATTTGTAAAATGTTTAATAATGGTTCTTTAAACCCATAGACAATGCTTCCCTATCTATTGCCTCAGAAGCCCCTTTGAAGTCTAATAATACTGTTACAATACATTCTTTCTCATCTCTACTTCTTCTCCAGTATTCCACCAATATTTGGATTGCTGTTTCTGCGGAATATTTTTTTCTAAATCCAGCTTGATTTGTTAGGTCAAAATTTCGTTTTCTTCAATGGATTGACTGATGCGTGAGTGAGATCTTTTACATTAATTTTTATTGTCAATTTAAATATTGCTGATTACAATTTTGTTTTTTACAGTTGGACGTGCAGTTTGATATATTCACTCCCTGAAGACAAAAAGAATATTCTGACAGTATGTCTACCAAGCATGAAACATGACAAACGAATTTTGATGTACTTTCTCCCTCATGTTTTGGTACTTGCCCTGTTAGAAGGCATTGACGGCATAGCTGGAAAATCTTTTACAGAAATTCAAACTATAACCAGCTCGTTTTCGAAAACTAGGTGTATGGACCCGAAAGTTTTGAACGTAAGTACAACTGAATTGTAACATGCGTTATGATGGAAAGTCGGCACACATTAGAAGTTGATTCTAAACTAAACAATTCACGGCAGCAAGGCGTGCTAAAGTGTTTTTTTTTTGTAGTTGCGGCCTATTCCAGTTCCAGGAGCGCTTACTAAAGCCCAATCTATAACACCAGAGGAAATGAAGCAAATGCAGTGCACAAAAGTTGTTTTCTTGTTATTAGACTTCGTTGACAGGTGGCTTAGGGAATGGGAATGGCAAAGAGGACAAGCGGGGATTAATAACGATAATTATAGCACCATTAAGGTGAGAAACAAAGTAATAAATAAATAAATTGAAAAATGTTCCCGAAAGCATTCAGAAAATAATATCTAGTGTCATTTTTAGGCATTCCAAAAGAGGTTATGTAAATTGCAGTTGGCGAAATGCAACTACCATTGCGGTGAATATCCTCGAGCTTTAATGTATTTGGAAGACTACATAACTGAAAATAAGAATTGTATGGAACAGCATCTTCCATTTCTTGCAGAGGTTTGAGCTATTTGATCTAGAAATATGTTTTTATAATACGAGATCATAAGTCATAGGGATAGAGTGTTGAGAAGTGTTTGTTTTTTAGATTTACGCTCAGTTGGATGAACCTGATGGAACAAAAGGTGCAACTGCACTTCAAACTACTGAGCCTTCCGTTGAACAGAAAATTCTTGCTCTCGAGGTATCTGGAAAATTGGCGGATGCCACCACCTGTTATGAACAGCTGATGAAGCCGTTAAAGTTACACCATGTTCAGGTATCAATCGATTAGAGTTATAATATTATTGGAAATAAAAGCTTGGCCATAATTCTCAACTAATAAAGGTATATAGATAGATAGACATATATCCTTTATTGTCTGACAATAATGACAATGCTAAATTAAAATAAGTTTAAGAAATATCTTTAAATTGTTGATTATTTTGATATCATCAGGGAAGCACATGTATATTTTTAGAACATTATAAATTATTGAGTATTGATTTAGGTGTTACTAAATTAAGTCCTTGTCTTTGTCTAATATCGTAACTTATATATGAAAGTTTGAAAATTTTTGTTTCTAAAATAAACAATGATACGACTGCCATTATTTTAACATTTAAAAATAAAGGCCTGCATCTAGCTCTCGGATTGCTTTTAGTTATATATTTAATAGTTTGTTATTGTCAAATACCACTTTTTTGCAATTTTGGGAATAGACACATCAAAAGGGAATGCCATATTTCAATCTACTTTCAAATACAGCAACAAACTACCAAATTATCAGTTACTCCACTTCGATCAAATAGATAATCAAAATTCAAGTATTTCTCAAAGGAATATATAAAATATCTTGGCGTATTCATTGATAGCGGACTTTGTTGGAATGTCCATATTTCTTATATTTATATTGATAAAAAATAAATGATGATTCGATGAAAAATGATTATAAAAATGGCGAATTAAATTTACTAGTAAAAATGTAGTTCCAGATTCTTGTTGTATAAATTCCACCATTTTAGGCATTTTCTAACAAAAAAATCTAAAGATAATATTATATTACGCACCACTAGAATGTCACTTAACTTACGGAATATCAGTTTGGGGAACTGGAAATAAGAAGCTAATAGAATTGCTTGAAAAAAACAGAAAAATCTATTCTAAAAGAAATATTCAATGAACCCATACTATACCCATCCGAACTTTCATACGGTGAAACAGAAATTCTTGACATACAAAAATTGTATTTTAAATTATTATAGATCAACATAAACATAAAAATTATATATTGTACAAGAATTATAATTACATAATATAATACTAGAAACAAGAACTCTCAAATTACTTTACTAACCCCAAAGAAAGACATCATGCTAAAATCATTTATCTATCAGGCTCCACTATTATATAATAACATACCAGCAAAAAAGGGCGCAAAGGTTGGTTAAAGGAAATTTCAAATTACAACATTTTAACATAATATGCGCACACTTTGGATAAACGAAAAAACGTGCATTCTGCTAATAGAATTGAAATTTATAATACACGCCTCATACGATGTATAACATATATTAACATATACGTTTCATGGTTATTTATTGTGATAACATTTATTTTATTTAATGCACTTATAATTTATTTTTTTCCCACGCACAAGCATATCCTTTTGTGGATTGAAATTTATTCGCCATGTCGTATATTATTGTGATTAAATCATTATTTTTATTAAAGTAACTTCTTAAGGATGTGCTTTTCGCTGCGTTGTACCTATAATAAAGGAAATATTTGCTAGTTGAGTATGCACATTGTTCGACATGATTAGTAAATTTTAATTTATGATCAAGGGTCAGACCTAAAAATTTGATAGTTTCTCTTTTGCCTAACAAATCATTATTTGAATGTGTATAATCAAGGAAGCATTTAAATGCCATAAATTTTGTCTTGAATATTGAAAGTTAAGTAATTGTTGTCACACCATTGATTGATTGTATATCACTCTCAATTTTTGACCTAATTCCATTTATATCTGTGTCTCGCGAAAGTATTGTGGTATCCTCACCAAAAACTATGTTTTATCTTTTATATTTGAATCTATTAAATCGTTATTATAAACTAAAAACAGAATTGGACCTGGTACTGATCCTTGAGGTTTTCTGCTTTTATATTTAATTAATTTGAAGTATAATATCTTGATACTCTTACAATTTGGGAACGATTATTTAAATGTTTCAAATCAATTAAAATAAAACAAATTTCCATTATCATGGCTAAAAAACAAAAATTGATAAGTCAACACTTTAAAATATGTTGGAATATTTATGGACTCATATTTAAGGTGGGATAACCATATTAAATATGTTATCAGAAAAATTAGAAATGTTGCCTATAAACTCAAAATGCTTGCTAACATTCTTACAGAAAATTATCTGCGAATCTTGTACCATGCCTTAGTTGAAACCAATATAATATACATCACAGCCTGGGGTGCCGCCTGCAAGACATATATTTCTGACCTAGATATAGCACAAAAACTCTTGAAAGCCATTTTCCATAAGCCAAGATTATATCCGACCAACTGCTTATATCAGGAAATAGGGATACCTGATACAAGACAATTTTATTTCTTACATGCCACCACCTTATACCATAGGTATTGTAATAAAAAAAAACCTATAAACACGAGCATAACACACGATTTTGAATAGGCTCATCTAATATCCAAAGACCACACAAAACATTATTCAAAAAATCATTTAAATTCTTAGCAGCTAAATTAGACAGGGTGTTTGGTGCATCGTTTGCCAAATTGAAATGGCGGACAGATGAGGTCTTTTTCTATCACCCCAGGTCCCTCAAACAGTTTTTAGTCCAACGGAATCAATTATGTAGATTTTTTATCTTTTTTAGTAAAAACTCCAAAATGTAATACACAAAGTGAAATAAAAAAAATAAAGAGTATGTCCACCTAATGATTAATTTATCTTAATGGGTAATGTTGTGCCAATCTTACAAAATCAACATTACTTGCCTGCAGCATGTGGTTTTTTTATTTATATAAGTCTCAATTTTGAATTTCTGTAAATAAAACTAAAAGCGTTCATGTTCTTAGAATTCTTTTAAAAACTACTCTAGTTTATCCCGATTCTAACGGTATGCCACAAGTCGCAAAAAAGTTTAACTAACTTATTGAATTTGCAAATTTTGTGTACAGGGGAAGGAAAATAAAAAAACGTGTAAAATCAAATTTCAATCATTTATTATTTTTTCTGTTTCACAAATCTTCTTCGAATTGTTGCCGTTTATTGCGTATGCACGCACTACACCTTTGTCTTATCTTGACAGTTGTCGTAAGTAGGCGAATTTCTTGCCGAAACATACCAAACGCCTCTTCTATTCTTCGGATCAAAATCCAATGGAGTTAGGTCTGGGGGCATGCAGGTCATGGAATAGGACCATCTCGTCCAATCCACGCATTCGGAAAAAAATCATTTAGATGTTCCCGCACAATTAGCCTCCAGTGTGCAGGACAGTCATCATGTTGGAACACTATTCGTCTGTCGCCATTGAAAATTCACACCTCAGTCTCCAATTCGGGCAACTCATTTAGCTGAAAATGTAGATAATTTTCTCCGTTCAGACGATCTGGCAAATAATGTGGTCCAATCACATAATTGCCATTTACTCCTGCCTAAACATTCACACTGAAAATTCTCTGAAAAGAGCTTGGCCTTGGTTCTAATCTTTTGAAGCCCAATGGTGCAGATTGAGCAAATTTAGTATCCCTTCCTTGGTGAATTTGGACTCATCCGTCTACAGAATACTTGTCAAAAAGTCCGGATCGTCCACGTCTGTGTGGAGCAAGAAACGACAAAACCGGACTCGGTTGTCGAAGTAATTGTTTTCAAGTCCTGCAAACAAAAAAAAAAACGGGTAACGTTATTTTCTCGCCGCTACATGTTAAATAAAAGCGATAAGAAGTTTCCATTGCAGACAGTTGTAAGTGTGACAAAAAAAATACGTACCTTGTACTGGAGTGTAGTGGAAGGCATGTTTATTATTTTGGCGAAGTACTTTTCACACTTTCCAAATTGAAATTCCCAGTGATGAAGCTACATTTCGAATGCTTTGAGTAGGATCTTCCTCGACAAGTGCCAAAATCCTCTCATCGATGTCAACATTGTATCGCACTACGATACCTCTTGGTACATTATTGCTCACAGTATCGGTTTCTTGTAAGCGTCGATAAGTGATTTGGAACGTGTGGCGAGTAGGTACACGCCTGATAGGATAGCGCTCTTCGTAGATTCTTTGCGCTGCTCGTGGAACACAGTTGGCTTATCCGTACACCAACAACATGTCTGCATACTCTTCATTTGTAAATGCAGCCATCATCAAAACAGAATTCAACGAAAACTGACAAAACAACAACAGTCACAGGTCGCGGCACTACGTAGAAGTAACGAAAGCGTTAGGCAGCCAAGGGACGAACCTCGATGGAAAAATGGACCCACGTCGTCTGTGTCGGTTAGCCGCTCAACTAGTAAAAGAGAGATACAGATGATACTGCTCCGCTGTGTACGAGGGAGACAAAAGTGTTTACCTGAGTTACGTTGTACGTGTAAATTACCCAACAGAAACAAAAATGCATTGTTATTATCCGACTGAAAAAATTTGACCCTGTACACAAAATTTACAAATTCAAGAAATTGTTTCAACTTTTCTGTGACTTGTGTGAGTAGTTTTTAAAAGAATTCTAAGAACGTGAATGCTTTTAGTTTTTTTTTACAGAAATTCAAAATTGAGACTTACGTTTTTTTTTTGTTCTTCTTTGTAACCCTTTGTGAGTTTATAAATAAAAACTGCATGCTGCTGGCAAGTAATGTTGATTTTGTAAGATTGGTACAACATCACCCATTAAGATAAATTAATCATTAGGTGGACATACTCTTTATTTTTTTTATTTCACTTTGTGTATTACATTTTGGAGTTTTTACTAAAAAAAATTAAAAAATCTACATAATTAATTCCGTTGAGCTAAAAACTGTTTGAGGGACCTGGGGTGATAGAAAAAGACCTCCTCTGTCCGCCATTTCAATTTGGCAAACGATGCACCAAACACCCTGTATAATGTAGTACCAAACGAAATAAAAACACTTAGTTTTGGAAAAAAATTTAGACGAAAACTGAAAGACTGGGTTTGTACTGTGCAGAGAATGACTACATAATTATATAGAAAACTAAAACTACAAAATTCCGATTATATTAATACTTTTTAGAATTAACAATAATTGTTATACACATATGATTGATTGTTAATTATTAAGATATAATCCACACACAGGCGATGTCTTGTGTGTTTTTTTTTTCATATTTGCTTATACCATTTTTTAATAGTATATCTTGATTTATGCCATTAGAAAATTTGTTACAAAAGAGAGCAATCTAAATCTATTTATCGTTTAAATTTGAGTATAACTGTTCGAGTAATGTGAAAATAGCATCCAAGGTATTTCTTTATTTTTGAAAGCCAATTTTGTTGTCACTTATAATTTTGTCATTTATTACGTTTTACTGCATGTTTAACACATCCATTACATAAATTATTTCTAGGGATTGGTCCAATGCTACTTGAACCTAGACAATGTCAGCACAGCATTCCATTTCATAAAAGGAGCATCCGACGATCACTTGGACTTTGGAAATATGTTGTTGGAAATGCAAGCCGAACCATTATGGCGCTTGGGGCAATACGATGATTTAGATGCACTGGTGAAGAAACCAGAAGTGGCGGAGAGCAAATATTGGGGTGTACAGATAGGCAAAGCGCTTCTCAATTTTAAGTATGGTAATGCATTGTCTGACAAGTAACTTCTCAAAATTACTGCAACATAATGTAGCTTATAAGTGTACAAGGTGGTCCCCGGGAGCGGGAAGTTTTAAATACTTTATGAGTCTAAAGGCAATTTAATTTAAATAAAATACAGTATAACATTAACAAAATTGTAATATGCCATTTTTATTTCTTGAAAATAATACTGCATAAATGTCCTCCCCTTCTCTGTATGCACACTTGAAATGGAAATTCGCCACAACACGATGCAAAATATCCACGATCGCAAGACGTTAGGTCTGGCGTCCTTGGTGGCCAGTCAATGTCTCCTCGTCTGGAAATAATATTTTGCGGAAACAATCTTTGCAAGGAACTTAATGACACTCTCGTGGTGTGTGAAGTAGCACCAGCCTGCTGGAACCATGTTTGATTATCATGTGGAAATTTGCTCAAGCGGTGACTCAAAAACTGGTTTACCATATCGGTATAACGCACAGAGTGGAGCTCGTGTGGATTTTCTGAACTCCAATAACGACAATTTTATTTGTTGGTATAGCTGGATAAATGGAAGTGCGCCTCGTCAGACATCCACCAATTGTGTAATATCAATTTCATTCTCAAGCAGAGTCTCACCGAAACGTAAACGAGCCAGGATGTCTGTTGGTTCCAGTGCTTGGACAATTTAAATTTTTTATGGATGAAGATTGAGATCTTTATACAAAATTCGAAGTAAAGTGTCTTACAAATTCTTAACGCTTGGGCTCGTTTTCGGGTTGAACGTTTTGGACTGCGTTCCACAGATATTTTTACACGATGTTTTCAGGCCTTCGTACACTTTTCTTTGGTCCTTTATGTTTGACATTAACAGCTGAACCTGTTTTTTCAAATTTACGAACCTATTTCTTTATAACATGAGCCGAAGGAACTCCATGTCGACCAATTTTGGAAATAAAGTCGGCAATGTCGCTGAGCGACAACCACACAGTTATTGTTTTCATAGTACGACGTAATCACAAATGCACGTTGCTCACCAGACCACTGCTCGATGATTACTCAATAGCATTCAGTGACAGATAAATTCAAAAAACAATCCATAGCCAACTATGCATAGTTATGGAATAACATTATCAAAACTTCCCGCTCCCGGGGACAACCTTGTTTAACGTAAATCAGTTCTGTCTTCACTATTGTTTTGTCCAGTTCTGGGGCCTAGACTATAGTCGAAACATCCATGTCCACAACAAAGCCATGAATATAGTGGAGAATATAACATTATAAGACCAGAATATCATAAAATAAGGATAGCCTGTTGAATTGTAGAGGCAAATTCACGTGAAGTGCTCTACAACTTTTGCTTTGGGACATCTCGTCACTTTATGTGCCCTGGCGCAGGCATTCTTTATTCGATCTATATTTGCTTTAAACCGTCGTGGAGCTATTTACCTCAAAATTGCCAAGAAATTAGACAAGTGGTAGTGCTAAAATGAGAGATCAAAGACAGTGGTCCGCTAATTAAATTAAGCATTTTACATTTATTATTTAGTTTTCTCCATATTGCCTGTTATTTTTGCACCTGTTAATTATTATTAGAAAAAACTATTTTCAAGTAGGTTGACTTTGCCCTTTTCCTGCATCTTTGCAGCGAGTTATCGTTCGTGCACGGTCCGAGTATATGTTTTTGTGCTGCAGTACGGATAGATTAGTCAGCAGGACCGATTCGCCGTTCGGTGAGCTTAAATAGCAGGATTTTACGCTGATCGAAAACATATTTTAAAGGCAAATATCCGGAGAAATCTATGATGTGAGAAATATTGCAAATACTGGTGTTGGGAGCGTACACTAAGATCAAAAAATATTCACCGTAACCTCTGAATTCACCCCTACAATTTTTTTTTCTAAAAATGATTATGGCCCTCTGAAACGTCGATAAACGAAATTTGAGCGATTTATATTTTTCCGTTTTTAGCTGTTTTCACTGCCGCCACTGGACCGATTTTCAAAACTGCAAAGCTTTTCCTTCCTTGATATAGTAGCAACCTTGTGTAAAAATTTCATTAAAAGCGAGCGATATTCTTAAGTTATAAACGAGCCAAGGATTAGCCGACAGACAGACGTACCGACGCCAAAGTGTGACATGTTTTTTCGTGATATATATTTCATATAGGTACTCGTAAAATAGTCAAACAACACAATCTCATTTTCGAAATATCTCGAGATTACAATACTTCCTCGACCAGTGGCATAGGAAGTAAAATTCCAAACATTTCGAGTGCGTGCGTAGTGAGTGATTTTTCAATTTTTATATATTTTTTTAAGAACACTTGGAAATTATAATACGAGGGGGTTACCCAAAAAAAAACAGGAATTATTTTTTAAAATCTATTTATTTTCAACTTTTTCACGAAGTAACCTTATCTCCTTCAAAATACTGTCCACTACAACTAATACACTTGTCCCACCGGTGCTTCCACTGCTCGAAACATTTTTTGAAGTCGTCCTTGGAAATGCCTGACAGCTCCTCCCTCGTTTTTTTCTTGACCTCTTCAATGTCGACAAAGCGGCGTCCTTTCATGCCCCTTTTTATTCGTGGAAATAAGAAAAAGTGGCACGGAGCCAGGTCAAGCGAATAAGGTGCGTGAGGCAGCGGAACAATGCCATTTTTATCCAGAAACTGTCGAACAGAGATGGCTGCGTGCGCAGGTGCATGGTGGAAGAACCAGTGTCTCCTGACTGCCACAAATCGAACACTGTTTCGCAATCGTCTTAAAACCTCCAAATAGCACAAGCTCTCGAATTTTTTCAACATTTTCGTCTACTCGGGCAGTTGATGGACGTCCAGAGCGAGGTTTGTCATCAATCGACATGTCGCCATTTTTAAATCGAGCAAACCACTCGCACACCTGAGTTTTTTCCATAGCATCATCTTTGTAAGCTATTTCTAACATTAAAACAGTTTCAGCAGCATTTTTACCAATTAGAAAGCAAAATTTCACAGCTGCACGTTGCTCACTGAAGCTTGCCATCGTAAAAAACGAAATAAGCACGAAACAGCTCTAGCAAAAATAGTGACTACAGAGGAACGAAACAAGCCAGATCGACAACTCAGGTGGCACTAAATTGTTAATGAGTTGCGCTGTACGCCTCTAGGGGCAGAAATGTGTACTACACAAGCTCCGCACACTGCAATGCTATTCCGGTTATTTTTGGGTATCTCCTCGTATGGTACCTCAACACATCAATTGCATTTGTTTGTAGGAAAAACTGAAGCATTCCAAACAACGCTAAACAACCTACTAACTCAACAATTAGATCTGTTCAGTGCTGCCAGCTTAGAGGAAGGTGCCTACCAACACGGCTATAACTATATATCGAAATTGCATACTTTGAACGAGTGTCAGCAGGTGCAACGTCTAGTATCGGATATATTGGTGAAGCCTAATGACCAACAGTATGCAGAAAGTTTAATCAAGAAGCTCACGAACGATTGGAATTTGAGGATAAAGGTAAGTCTTAACTTTATATCCAAAAACTTTTTTTAACATATTTCACCAGAAGACACCCAACCAAATTGGAATTGATTAATTAATTTTAATGTTTGCATCTTTTTTATCATTGACGAAAAGTAAGAAGTTTACTTGAAAATTTATCTGCTCTTAAAATGACCTTGATGATCATTGGCAAGGATATACTTGAACTTGCATTTCAGAAAACAGTTGTTTCTCGTTAAAAGTTCATTATATCCTCAAATGCTCTTGATGGTCATTGAGGTTATGAACATACTTGAACAACGTTTATTGCTCTTTTTATTTCCTGCGTCATAAATAGGGGTTTGTATTTCAAGAAAATCGTCTTACCTTCAAATGATTTTGAACTTTGAAGGACAAGTTCAATTTCACCCTTAGATGAATCTTTTCAAACCTTACAACTGCATTACACAACTTTTTTACTCTCTGGGCACCTTCAAATACCCATAGTCAAGGATATGGGCAAAGACATATTTTAACTTATAATTCCCCGCTCTTTACATTTCCTGCGTCAAAGATTGGAGTTTCATTCGAGAAAACTGGTTTGGCTTCAAATGATCTGGAAGGTCATAGCTAAGATCACGGTCAAGATCACCGCTAGATCAATCTTTTCAAACCTTACATCTTTGTTCTAGCATATTTTTCTCTGGGGAACATATTTTTCGAGATATTTGGATCTACGCATATTGTATATTTTCGCAGATAAAACCATGACTATAACCTTCCTCGGGTTTCAGTTAGAAAGTGTACAAAGTTTTACGTCTCTCCATATTGTCGTTCATTGATAGGCTTCACAGACCTTCACATTTATATATAAAGATGGTTGGGCATCTTCTTGGATAGTACGTTAATCAATGCCAAACGGCATTGCATCCCATATCTGTTACATTGTTTTTATTGTAGGTTGTCCAAGAATCTGTGCAGATCATAGAACCACTATTGTGTCTGAGACGAGTTTCACTGAATCTTGCTAAAACAGTTATAGAAGAAAAGTTACGACGCCCTGTTTCGTATTTTGACACGCTTATAGGGGACTGTTGGTTGCTCAGTGCTAAAATTGCCAGATCTGCAGGGGTATGTTTGTTTATTTTTGTGGTCCATTTCGCCCATTTAATTGTACTTGCAATGTTTTTACAAAAATCAAATCTTGGAGCTCAAACGATTTTTAGTTGCATCAACAAGCCTACACTTACAACATAAAAGCAGAAGAATATGCCCCAGCTACACTGTTTATTGAGAAAGCAAAGCTGCATTGGTTTAGGGAAGAACACGAACAGGCACTCACAATACTCAAAAAAGGCATGGAACAAATATTACCGCCTGACGGAAATGCTGCACAGTTAAGATTGGAAGAACGGTAAGAAGTTCATGTAACATCTGATGCTTAACTTGTAGTTTTCGTGTTGATAATCCCCTGTGTTTGTCTGCCCTTATCAAACCACGTATGTTTAAAATTATTTTTTACACCGAATCAGCCGCTTATGCACAATCCTAAATATCAGGGCACCGCGGCTGCTATGAACTTAAAGAAACTTTGTATACCCGATTTTTGAACTGCCTAACGTTAGTAGAACTGGGAAAAGCCTCCTCAGTAGATGGTTCGATACCCTAGGGACAAAGGAACGGTCGTATCGACCAGTTCTGGATGTTTGAAGCTCGACACGGCTAGGATGGGTGGCAGAAATCAGGCGGGTCTGCCCACTTTATTGTACGACGTTTCGGTCCCAATGATGATTTTCTTCAAGTAAAATCGACACTTTTTTAAACATGTGTAGTTTGATTCGTTGAGACAACATGGGGGATGGCAAGAAGTTTATTGAACACAGTAACACACTAGCATTGTAATATGTTTTTCTCATAATTTTTAGAAAAATATGCGCGAAAGCAAGACTACTTTACGCCATTTATAATGACGAAATTTCTAACGTGGAGGCTGAAGTTAATATTTTGAATTATAGAAGAGCAATTGATGTTCATAGGGAATGGGAAAAAAGTCTGGTAAGTGATTGTTTAGGATATGAAAGATTTTAAATCCAATTGATTGTAACAAAACATCTAATTTTCTGTTGATCCAGGTATGTTTGGCTCAGTATTACGACAAACTACTACAAAATATGTCCGTTGAGGATCGTGATACAAAAGGCAATGACTTCCAACTGTACATGATCAACTTTTTTGGTAAATCCCTGCAGTATGGAACCGATTATGTCTACCAGTCTATGCCCAGACTACTATCGATTTGGTTCGACTATGGCTCTCGTATTTTAGAAGTAACTAATCCTACGGTCAGAGAAGAAAGAAGATCAGTTCTTCTTAACATGACCAGATTGATTGATTCGTTTTTGGAAAGACTGCCGCCTTATGTGTTTCTGACTGCGTTCTCGCAGTTGATCTCTAGAATATGTCATCCACAAAAAGAGGTAGGCGCCTTGACTTTCGAACAATTCAACCAATCAAATCAATTATATGTACTACAAGTTTTAATAAAATTACGAGGCACTACAAGGTGACAGCTGTCATAAACTTCAATTCTCTTTGTATGGAACTTCTTCATCTGATAGGAATTACAAAAACAAAGAATTGTTTAGTTATATTCAACTTTTATTTTTTTCAGGTGTATGGAGAGCTAAAGCTAATTATCATTAAACTAATGCACCACTATCCGCAACAGTGTTTATGGATGATAATTTCCGTTATTAAATCCAGCTATCCAGTTCGTTCAAAAAGATGTGCAGAAATCCTCTCTGATCCTCGACTAAAATCTACTACTCTGACAAAATTGATCAGGGATTTTACGAGTTTAGCTGAAAAGTTGATCGAGCTGTGCAATAAGGAGATCCCTGGGGATGTTACGACAGCTAGTGTCAGTTCTTTGCTTCGATCTTTGCCAAGGTAAGGTGTAACTATTCCAAAAATATGTTTTATTGTATTATACAAACATTACCCAGCTCATATAATCAAATCTCAACTTCTAATACATATGTTAGAGTGTATAAATAATTTAATTTGATTGGTGTTCATGATACATTTTTGAATGCTCTCCACTTCAGTAAATACTTTTTTCCATTATTTATTGCCATATTTTTTTCAGGTTGTTAGGAAAAGGTGACTTCAGTGAAATAATGATGCCTACGTTCAAGTTAAGGAAGCTAATCTTACCCAACCCGGATTTCAGCACTACTGAACACAATCCATTCCCAAATCAAAGTGTTTACATTACTGGGATTGAAGATGAGATCAACATTTTGACTAGTTTACAAAGGCCAAGAAAAATAACTTTGAGAGGATCTGATGGAAAGAAGTATGACATGTCACTTCTCTCACCAAATACTTCATACGTGAATTTTAAATACGAATGTTATATATGCATATTTCTTGTTTTGTTGCAGGTACACATTCATGTTAAAACCTAAAGATGATCTTCGGAAAGACTTTCGATTGATGGAATTCAATGATATTGTAAACCATTTGCTGTCTAGAGAGGCAGAATCAAGACAAAGAAGGCTGAACATACGATTGTATTCTGTGGCACCACTCAATGAGGAGTGCGGACTCATAGAATGGGTACCTAATCTTATTGGGCTCCGACCTGCGTTGATGACCATTTATAAACAGAAAGGTTTGTAAAATTTCATTACAGAAAATAGAGCAATAATATCTATGTCTTTGATATAATGTCGGTGATCCCATTGATTTACGTCTTCTACCTGGTCCTACAATTCGAATGCCTTTCGAAACAAAAAATCTTCAGTATTAATTTTTTGGCAGGGAAAAAGTATCAACGCACTATATGAGTTGAATTGGTTTTCTGAAGTGTAACTTCAGCATGAATTTAATTTTTGTTTTTGAGGACGCATCTTATATATTTTGAGATTCTCAGTGTTTATTATCTTATTCTGTCCGATTTCGGTTATTTAAATAAGTAATAAATTATCCTTGTAACAAATAAAATGTTTTCGTATCCCCCATAGTTCACACGTGAAATTATACTTAATATTAAGAAGAAGGACATAGCAAGAAGGAACTGGAAACGTGACGGTACCAAGTTTTCTTATGATCAGTTCAGTAATTTTAGGAAGCTCATTAAGAACCAGATCAGTGTTGCCTACTCCGCTTACGTCCAATCGGTTGAGGATGCCATTGTCAATGATCCTAGCAAATTCTGGTCATTTGTCCAGATCAAAAAACAGTAATCTAGAATCCCCCCAAGGATGACGCTTAACGGCAATGTCTGCGATACGCCTCAGGATATAGTGGACAGTTTTGCTACCTTCTTTTCAACAGTTTTTATCCCGTCTGGTCTACTAGGGTCATCTCCTCCAACAAATAATTCTACTGATATCATTTCTTTAAAAAATATAAGTGAAGAAAACGTAATTAGGGCTTCGAAAAGATTAAAGAACAAAATGACGTCTGGATGTGATGGTATTCCAAGTTTTTTCGTTAAAGATTGCATTCATATACTAGCGAAACCGCTGGCTTCCATATTCAACCTAATTCTAAAATCAGAGACATATCCAAATATCTGGAAGACCTCTAAAATATGTCCTATTCACAAAAGTGGAGATATCTCTGATATTTCCAACTATCGCCAAATGCAATGCAATTTCAGCAATTTGTTGGAGATCATCGCTTATGAAACGGTTTACTGCTCGGTCAGGGGTGCAGTCTCTATTAATCAGCATGGATTTATGAGAGGCAGATCTACGGTCACCAACTTGGCTCTAATTACTCAGTACATTTCTGAAGTACTGGACGGTCAGGGACAAGTTGATGTCATCTACACAGATATTCAGAAGGCGTTTGATCAAGTTGATCATTATGCACTTCTGGATAAGCTTAAAACAGTGGGTATGTCTGATGCAATGCTGTCGCTCAAGAATTCATATTTGAGGGATAGAAGGTTATTTGTCGAATATGGTGGTCATAGGTCGAGTTACTATCGGGCCACGTCCGGGTTACCTCAAGGGTCAAATCTAGGTCCATTATTGCTTTTGATATTTATTAATGACTTGTCTTTTGAACTGAATTAAGTGTTTCCATTTGTGTTTCGCTGATGACCTTAAAATCTGCACGTCAGTCAAGACAGTCGAGGATTGCGTCATGTTGCAAGATGACTTAGCTCTAATTTCGTCATGGTGTTCACGAAACTGTCTCAGTCTGAATGTTTCGAAATGTAAAGTTATGACTTATACAAGAAAGGTTAACTATTTAATTTATGGTAATTATAACATCAATGGTCAGATTATAGACAGATGCACCTCGTATAGAGACCTTGGAGTCACTTTTGATACCAAACTAACGTTTACTGAGCATATACTCAATATCTCGTCGGCTGCAACTCGACTACTTGGTTTCTGTATCAGAAACTGGAAGGGTTTCTCCAATGTTGATACATTAATGACTTTATTTTTTACTTTTGTCAGGAGCAAGTTGGAGTATGCGACTCTGATCTGGTCTCCTATATAGCAAAATTTTGTCATGATCCTTGAGGCCATGCAACGTAAAGCTTTAAAGTATTTTCACCTTAAATGCACAGGTTCTTATCCAGAAAGAGGTTGTGACCATAGTGCCCTATTAGAGTTTTTCAATTTGGATTCACTGTCAACAAGACGATACATATTTGCTTTGTCGTTTTTGTATTGCCTCATTCACAATAAAATTGACTGTCAAAATTTACTTGAAAAAATATGTTTCCGCGTTCCAAGGCTAGGGAGTCGGCAACAAACGGCATTCTATTGTCAAGCTGGCCGTACAAATGTTATGACAAAATCGCCAATTAATCTCATGTGCTGCGTCATGAACAGTGTTACTGAATCGTGTGATATTTACAGTGACGATTATTAACTGCTATAGATCATCCAATCTTATTTAGATGTGTGATACTATAGATTTAAGTCCAAGAACCATGTCTCTTTAATTGTTATTTTTTTCAGCATTTCCTGTAATTGGGTTTCACCTGTTGGAAATAAATAAATAAATATTCATTTATTTTATCCTTGTAACAAAAGCGCGTAAATTATAAAAATACGCTGTCATAATTCATCTTTAATGATGCAATCCCCCTGAAGTGCATTTTTTATCGACTAGCAGGTTTACCGTCTATTACAGGATACAGCACATAAAGTAATGGATATTGTACATTTCAGTCGGCCAAAAGCGAAGTAATATAAAAAAATAGTTTTGTCAGTATCCTACATATAAAACTGATAACTGCCAAATTACACGACTTTAACAATTGTTGGTTAAGCTGTTTTGCAGTATTATTGACGATATTCGCAAAGCATTGTAGCTGGAAAACTGGCGAGAAAGTATTGTAAGCGCCAAAAATTTCTACATTGAGATGTCATGTTTTTTGGATGTTATATGATATGTAGATCACGAAAAACCATGTCACTCATTTCTGTCGATCTAACTGCCTGTCTGCTGATCCTTGACCACTCTGTACCTTGGAAACTACCGCTCGAATTTTGATGAAACTTTGCCACAATGCTACTACTATACCAAGGACGGAAAAGCTTTGTAGTTTTTGAAAATCTAGTGGTGGCGAAGCGAGAGGCAAACACTGGAAAGAAAAACGCTCAAACTTTGTTTTTTGACATTTCACAGTCCACTCCAGGATCATCCTGGGTATATCTCAATTTTTAACGTTGGTATATTTATACACCCCCAGCCCCAGTAATTCTACGCCCCTATTAGGATTTTTTTCTCATCATAGATGTCGCCGTACATTTATCCTTAAAACTTATAAATACATATCTCTAAGACGCGTGCCAATACCTCCGATGAACAAGTGTTGTACGTCACAGTCGACAATCGCATCCCTATTGCTAAGGGCTGTGTGCAGTGTGCATGGTGAAGGCCTATATCGTCATCCACGTTGGATTAGTCATATCAACGGTCATGTGCGCCTGCAGGAATTTCTCGCAGGGGTGGTGGAAGATCATTTAATTTTTTGTTATAGATGTTCGTGGCTAGCTTATTGTTCAGAAGGGCCTAACTTATGCCAAAAATAATCCTTTACGAACTAATGCCAGCGTTGCGTGGGAAATACAGAGTAATCTTAACGCCATTTTTTAAATTTTACACAGTTTTTAACAAATAATATGTGAAAGGACCTTTTTTGGCAAAAGACAAGTTACAGGGGTATAAGCGTGAACTTTTTTGTGCTTACCATTTAGAATTGAAAGCAAAAAATACCTTGTTTCCACGTTCAAGCTTAGGAACGACACATTTTCAAGATCTCTATTAATTATATTTTAGGAAATGTTATGAGGACAAAAGAATTGAAAGAAGCGTGCTGTAACATAAGGGATCCCTTAGATAAGAAGAGGGATATATTTCTGAAAAAGTTGTTGCCACGGCATCCACCGGTTCTAGGTGAATGGTTTAGGAAGACTTTTCCAGATGCACAAGTAAGTGGTTTTATTTTTTTTTTTTTTGTAAACATTTCACAACCAACATCATATTTCTTGTTTATATTTCAGAGTTGGTTAACAGCTAGAACAGCCTATATCAGGACGACAGCTGTGATGTCTATGGCCGGGTATATCCTTGGCCTAGGTGATAGACACGGAGAAAATATTCTATTGGACTCCACTTGTGGAGATGTTGTTCACGTCGATTTCAATTGCTTATTTAATAAGGGTGAGTCTTTTTAATCTCCTTCAGACGTAACAGGATCGACAAAGTAAATGATTCATGTAAAACTGAAGACTGAAAGTGGCTGTCAACTTTTGTTTTATTATACACGAAACAAAAATATGCCACTTCCATACAATTAAAATTTATTGTTCTGTGACGTGTCCATTTCAATCCAAAAATATTAGACGTCATTAACTCTATAATTTATACTCAGTGACATTAGAACGCCTGCTTTTTGAAGAAAGTCCGTAGTACGACGAGCAATATGGGAACGTGCGTTGTCTTGGTGAAAAGGGACGTGTGCAGGGCCCTATAGATACGGCAATAAAGTGGTTTGTAGGACGTCATCAACATAACGTGCAGCAGTCATATTACCTTGAACAAAGAAAAGGGGTAATCGACTATCATAGGCAATAGCCCCCCAAACCATTACTCCAACAGTCCAGTGTATATGCCACTCAACAGCAAATTAAATATCAAGCCGTTCTCCACGGCGGCGTCCTTGCCCTTCTACGACCATCGTGCGTATCTAGACAGAATCGTCGCTGAAGATGACATTATGCCATTCTGCCTCCCAATGTTTGACAATGTTACCACATCATGCTTTAAATATAGTCACTATGATGTCAAAAAAACAAGTTGAAGAAATTATTTTTCCTGGGTGTAGGACTTCTAATGTCACTGACTATGTATAGGTAAACCTATATTGGTATATGGGCAGTCGTATCGGCAGAGGAATACATAGATAAATGAATAAATACCCTTTATTGTCTGAAGAATGCAATCATTCTTAATGACAAAGCTAACTTAAAACTAAACTATCATATAATTACATAAGAAAATCTTAAGATATTCTAAGTTCATTGCGGAATATCCTTAAATTGTTAGTTCCTTTGATAGCGTCAAGGAGACTCATATAAATTTTCAGACCATTATAAATTATTGTCTCTTTCACAAATCTAACAGTTTGTTTTTGTAGAATAAACACCTTATTTAAATAATTTTGGGAACAGATACACCAAAAGAGAATGCTATATCTCAATCTATTTTCAAATAAAGCAAAGTAACTGTGTAAGGCTGTGCTATCCCCTACGTTGTAACTAATTGTTCTTGTAATGAAGGAAATATTTGCTAGTTGAGTAAGCATTTTTTTCTACATGATTAGTTAAATCTAATTTATGATAAATGGTCAGTCCCGCAGAACGTATCAGGCAAAAATCGATACCGGCCATTACGATCATTTTATATGAATAAGAACCGCAAATTTTAGTATATTGTGATTCCGAACTCAAGTTCGGGATAATATCGTTTTCGTTTCCCGTCATATTTATCATCTTGTCTGAAAATAAGTCGATACCAACCGAATTGACACTTTGTTAGGTGAAAAGTTCGATTGGCCAGAACGAGTTCCATTCCGGCTCACGCACAACATGGTTGCCGCCATGGGCCCTTTGGGTGTTGAAGGAACTTTTAGAACATCATGCGCATGCACGCTGAGGGTACTGAGGCACAACGCCAACATTTTGATGTCTATAGTCACTCCATTCGTCTACGATCCTTTGGTGTCATGGACAAGAAATATGGGCGGGCCTCCTTTGAACAATCACAATCCAGAAAGGACCAATGATGAGGTAATTACAAAAACTTATGTGTAATTCAAGCAATAGGTTTTATTATTCGAATTGTCCAATTCATTATATTTTATTTTAGGCTGTGGACCACATAAAAAATATTGAGCTGCGACTACAAGGAACGGTCAAGTCGAGACATAAAACTTTAACTATGCCACTTTCTGTAGATGGACAAACAAATTATCTTATAAATGAAGCAATCAGTGTTGATAATCTGTGTCAAATGTATATAGGATGGGGGCCTTACTTGTGAGATATAGTATGTAATATTTTGGTACGTTTTGAGCAAAAATATATTTATTCTTTTTTGTGTATTTTTTACTACAAACATACAATAACGGAATACATTTATTCATAACTGGCGAAATTCAGCCCTCATTATTTTTTATGGACGGAAAAATTGCAGTAGGTAGCTTTTACGCTGTATATTATGGCATGTCGCAAGTTTGGGGTACATGGTTGATCTAAAAGGGGTGGAAATGGGTGCGTAAGCTAGGAATGGAATGGATAATAAAAATATGTTTAAGAGAAACAATTTTTATTCATACAAACAATAAATAAAATTATTTTATACAACGTTATCCAATATAGTATATAAATATAATATATACATTCTGTTCTTAAAGAGAAAAAGAAAGAAGAATGACTAAAATTTTAATCTTTCAATGTTTTTAATTGGCTAGTAGCACCGTTTGAAGATCATGCAAAAATTGTAGTTACATTTTTAGTCTGTATATTAGTTTTTAACTTATAATTACATTGAAGAGTTTGCCTATTATCAAATGGTCTGCTCTCCAAAGCTACAACAAAAATGTGGTCTGATTACTGGACTTCCAAAAAAATATTGCAGCTACAAAATATATAAAAACAATGCAATCAGATCATGATAACTTAAACCTAACTATAAATAAATTCACGCTAAACATTATTTAGCAAAAAGACTGTGAGGCATCAAGCACGTTAGACATTTCATAGTGAACGTGAATTTATTTGCAGTTAACAAAAATTTACAATTAAAAAACTAACAAAATACTGTTAAATGAATACGTCGCTATATTTTTGTTACATGTACAGGGTGTTTCAAAATGTCTACACCTCCAATGAATAAGAATTTTTGGTCACTGTCGTAGCCTGTATTTCTAATGTCGAAAGTTTAGACACCCTGTGCAAATGTAGGACTCAATTTCTTCTCATTTAGTATATAGATACCAAATTTTACATTACAGTGGAATTACAAACAACAAGGGCTTTCCAACATTGGAAGACGCTAATAAAAAATGTCATCAAAATGACTAGTTATAGTACGGTTAAATACGAATACAAAAGTAAAGCCCAGATTAAACAAAGCTTAATAGTGTTACTCACACACAATGAAAACAGATTTTTTTGGTAAAAAGTAGTACTCAAATCGAATAAAGTGATACAGTACATCACATGAGTTCAAGGTAATACACGTTTGAAAGCTATATTATAGTGATTCAAACAACAAAATAATGACAATTTAGTTCTTGATCGCTCAAGGTGCGAGTTTTGGAGAAATTTCAATTTGCTAACATGCCAAATAGAATTCCATTGTCAAAGATCGCAGGTTTCAATTCCCCACTAGCACTAAACAAGTGCAGAAGGGTGTAAAATGTATAAAAATATGACAAACCGTGCAAGAGCAATGACTTCAACTTTTGAAAGTGTATGGTCTGTACAGTATGACTTGGTCTACATAGACATTTTTCTCATTCGACTGGAGTGATGTTGAAATACAATCAAAGAAAAAAGGCATTCAAGCCTCGCTGGACCCAATGTCTGGAAGAATAATTTGATCTGCATTGATGGGCTGTGACTGTGTCTGATTACTATTACTTTCGTCACCGGCTACAATGTTAGGATTCCCATCATTAGGCGATCCATAAAATGATTTGTTATTATCATTAGGAACGTTTTCAAGGCAACTAGAACTCAGTAGAACGGGGGCAATATATTGCTCATGCAAGTCAGTGGTACTGGTATTAGCACTTAATGGAGATGGGGCTCTACACCTGGGAAAAGGGCCAATGAAAAGGAAAAAGCACATAGTGACTAAGAAACCCAAGAACGCTATGCAAGTGGTTAAATTTAAATCTGCTCTCAAGTAGAAGAACATAGCTGTGATCAGCTGCAAAAGCAGGATTGCCACTCGTACCATTTTCACTGCATCTGCGTGGATTTGTTGACCCTCGCCCGACATCGTGATGGGCCTATATACATAATAGATGTTGTACTTATCAACCATGTGTTTTAGTGACAGATACAATAATCCAAAAGGCGTTATTAGCGGACACGTTAAACTATACACTGTGCAAACGGTAAATATAAGAAGCGTCCAAGCATAATGGATACCAAAAGGAAATTCCGAAAGAATTTCCTTCCTAATGGTTGGTTTCTCAGCCTCGGATTTAATACGCAGCAGCCTCCAAGCATACATCGTCAGCTCAGGAAATCTGAGCAGCTCCAATGCAGTACCAATAAGAGCGGAGGTGATGACGTAGTTTACGAAAAACGCTCCTTTGTCTGCTAGAAAAATACATTCCCAATGGTGAATGTCGTGAGTCTCAATTAATGCCTGAGCGCTTGTTAGACCCAATGAAGGCAAAATTAACACCATAAACAAAAGGAAGAAGAATGTTTTGTACATCGTCGTATGATTTTGCTTAGACTTTGTCCAATGGGACATCCACTCATCAGAGTAGGAGACCATAACTGGCATGGTTGCAGACATTGACAGCATCATCAATGTGGGCAGGAACTCTGATATCACCGGGCTGAGTTTTTTGAAGAAAAATTCTTGTGCGGATGTCGAGTTCAGAAGGATATTCACTACTATAAGAGGAGTGGTGAGGAAGAACAAAATAATAAATAAAATACTGTTAATGATTATTGCTTTTAGATACCAATGCCTATAAGAAATTTCTAAGTTTTCCCAGTTTATATCTATTGGTGAAGGCGCTTTCACTATCACCCAGTTCCTATGACTACCAGGCTTAAAAGAACGTACAACATGCTGTGCCGTTTCTTCAGAGTTAAAAGTAACGAAAGCTATGCCAAGTGGGTTTTGTAATGCTCTAACCCTCTCTTCAAATACTAGATGATTGAGTTTATCCTCTTCTCGAGCATAATACTCAAGGGCGTTTACAGCGCCACAGGGACAGCAAGCTATACAACCTCTTGGTTGTATTTTCATGTCGCCTTTTTGAAGATTTTGTAGGCAGTAAACGTGAGCTTCATGAACCCTTTCCCTAGTCCTTTCCAAATCTGTCAAAGTTTTTACTCTATACGCTAATTTCACATCTACAACCTCTATTCCTGGATATCTCACAGTAAAGTAGCTTTTTATATCTTCAGGATTTCGATGAATCTTTGATATGTTTGTTACCAATACCGTTTTTGATGATATAACTGTAGTGCTAGGCATCCTACCCGAACATTTCCGCATTATTAGAATCATAACAGGAACGACCAAAATGGAGCCAAGTATATGTACCCATAACCACTTGGAATCAGATGGCAAGTTGCTGATAGTGGTATGTCCAAATGTCGTCTTGTCACCTTGCAAAGAGCCTTGAAAGTTTATTGGTAGTATAACGCATATCGAGAAAATGCTGATGACAAGCATGAGTAACAATAACTGATTTTGAAAAGAGAGATAGTGTGCAGCGTCTGGGCCACATCGTTGATATATCTTGTCTCTGCCGATTTTGAATATTGCGGGGAACCACAGACATCCCGTGTCGGCTATAAGAGAAATTTCGTTGTGGTTGTTCAGCTCTTCTACTGCTACAGCATCGTCGGTATTTTTGTAGAAAAGTTGCGTCCACTTTTCTGTGTGGACCAATGCGAGTCTACCATAATCCCATGCTCTATTCCGTAGTATCGCAAAGAGAAGAATGAGAGCGATCCAGCAGACCACATTTAGGATGATTGTTTCTGGTATACCTGTAAGAATTTTGGATTGAAGTACACTTAATCTGATTCTTCTAAACTGTTCCTAACGTCAACGCTCTTTCACTTCCTATGCCAATAGGAGGCGGGAAGTTTATACTCGCGAATATTTTGAAATCTGGGACAATGTTTCTTGGTCGTTTTACGACATACAGGCAAAACCGAATTTGTCTGACGGCTTGACTTCAATTTGTACGAGAGACAAGCGCGAGATGTGTGTATTGGCACATGTTAGAAAGATATAGAGCCGGCTGAAGAGTGAAGGTCATCACGACATTGCCTAGCAACAGTGACGGGGAAGGTGGTGCAATCCGCCGCGTTGCCAATATGTTCCACCAGAAAATGTTCACACAGGCTGCTACAATAGGTTATGTTACTGCCAAACTCAAGGCGTTCTGTTCAAACATTTGATTTAATATTTTGTTTTAATTTTAATTAGAATTATAGTACAGCGTCGATTATCCGAACGTCGATCAACCGAACGACCGCTTATACGAGATTAATAAACGGTTAGAGGAAGGTGAATCTGCAACAACGTTATCCAATGAATACAAAGTTGGTAAGTCTACCATTACGGATATAAAAAAACAAAAGACGAACATAAGTAACTGTAAGTCGTAGCTTGATTCTTCTGACGGATCGACAAGTCGTAAAACGAGGAAACTTGATTCAAATACGGATTTAGATGACGCTGTATATAAGTGGTGTACTCGGAAAAGATCCCAGGGAGAACCTGTTTCTGGTCCGATTCTGTGTGAAAAAGCACTTCAGTTCAACGATAAACTCGGAGGGCCATCAAATTTTCAAGCAAGCACAGGCTGGTTGAAAAGATTTAAGTCGAGACATGGCATTCGTGAGCTGCAAATACAGGGAGAAAAACTGTCGGCTGATCCATCAGCAGCAGAAGGAAGAAAATTACGCCCTCGAAAACGTATACAATGCAGATGAAACTGGGCTCAATTGGAAAGCTTTGCCAAGAAAAACTCTTGCATCACGTCGTGAATTAGCAGCACCTGGACCTAAAAAAGCAAGGATTGTATCACTGCTTTAGCTTGTGCTAATGTCACTGGCAGCCACCGCTTGCCCATGCTTGTCATTGGTAAAAGCAAGAAACCACGTTGTTTTGAACACGTTAATATGTCTGCGATGCCTTTTTTTTATACTCCAACTACCACGAAGGCCTAAGGCCTAAACACCCATTGGATACCGTGGGGCTATAGGGGGATACAGGGGAAAGGGGAACGCCACACGGACTCTGGCGAGGGAACACGTGTGCATGCAACATGGCTCCGCCTACGAGATCCGCCGGGTGGTACCTCCACGTTCGACAGTCAGAGACCTTCTACCACCTACGGACAATCACAACATCCATAGCCAAGAGCAAAATTTCTCCTGGGACGGGACTCGAACCCGCACAGCGCACGGCGACTGATCAGGAGACCGAAGAGTCTACTACTGCGGCCACCACTGCTGCCTGCTATAGTTTATAGTTCGCAAAAGAGTGCTTGGATGGATAGTACAATTTTTATGGAATGGTTTATAGAAACTTGTATACCCTCTGTTAAAGCCCATCAATTAAAAAATGGTAAAAGAGAGAACATTATTGCTTCTAGATAACGCCCCGACTCATCCATCATGTGACATCTTAAATAAAAAAGACGATTTTATAAAAGTCATGTTTCTTCCACCTAATGTGACTTCATTATTACAGCACATGGATCAAGGCGTTATTGAGACTTTTAAACGGTATTATAGCAAATAATGGTTACCTAAGTTACTTTTGGAAAAAGAAGAGGAGGGAGATGAAAGCCTGATAAGAAATCATAAAAATATTAATTTGAAAGACGCGTCCTACATGATAGGAACAGCATGGAACAGTGTAAAAGAGCAGAACTTGAAAAAAGCTTGGAATAAAGTTTTGTGTTTAGTGGAATATCCTGAAAGTGATAATCTAAATGAAAAACAGGAAGATATTTCTGAAATAATAGATATGCTAAAAAAACTTAATTGCGGTGAATGTGATGAAGAAGAAGTTGAACAATGGATGGATTTTGATGATGATGATGATGATCCCAGGTACCAAAATCTGCAGGAAAGCGAAATATTAAATCTGATTACTAATAAAACTGACACCACAGCTAGCACATCCTCAACTGCAAGTCCAGATAATGAAGATGAAAACATAATTCGTGCTTCAGAAGCGTTTACTCACTTTATTGCCTTGCGTTGGTTTGAAACACAAGCCGAGAGCGACCAGTATCAAATATCTGTCCTTAAAAAAATACGTGACCTAGCCGCTCGTAAATGGATAGGCTTGCTTCGGCAGGCCGAAAATTGAAGATGTTTTTTAAGCGTTAGTAATTAACACTTAAATCTCTTCGATTTTCGCCAATATTATACTTAGAATGTTTTGTTGCACAGATTGCAGTTTAAATGTTTTTTAATTCCTATCTTTCAATAAAGATATAATTATGAAGGTATGTTAATATGGCTTTTATTCACCCGTGGATAAATAAATATGTATGTGTATCAATACAGTTCGATTATCCGAAAAAACCGATTTTCCGAACACCCCTGTCCCCGAATTAGTTCGGATAATCGACGATCTACTGTACTTATTTCAATTCTGATGCGACTTAGTGTCCATTTCCACCGATGGTGATGAAATCAATACATCCCGAGTTACTGTTACACTTTGCGACAGCGCTGCGGTTGGAAAATGTTACAAATAACTTTACGCAATACAGTTTTTCACTGCCTGCGTGTACGCAGCTGAAAGCCATTTTGAAGCAGGACGACACTCGCCTATGAGCGCTAGATGGATACTGACCAAAATCGGTCAACTATGATCATGGAGGTGGAAACCTTGCCTTGGAATGCACAAGATGCGGTGTTATCAAACGAACCAATGAAGCAATATTGCAGAATTTGTGGCGATCCTGACCTTTCATTACGTCCTAACATGGGGCGCCCTTAGGACCGATAGTGAATCAATCCTAAACACATTCGACACAATTCAAAAGCGTGTACGCTCAAAATAAAACCATTATTTGGGCGTAAAGAATAATCTAATGCATACTTTTAATATGTATCTTGATTCAAGGAACCTCTGAAATATATTGGCAACGCGTAAAATTGCCGCGTCAGCGTTGACATGCATCGCAAATGTGGGCTTTGCTACCCAGGCAGCTTTTATCTCGTTCTAACATATGTCTATACACACTTCTCTCTCATACACATTGAACTTAAGCCATCCAACAAATTTGTTTCTCATAGTTCTCACAAAACACCATATCACTCTGCAGTAAATCTGCCTGTTGTCTATCTGAGAACCCTTGTCCCTATATCAAAAAGTAGTGTAATATTTTGATAAAATTTTTAACACAAAGTTATTGCCATACAAAGGACGAAAAAACTGTGCAGGCTTTAGGAATTGCTTCACAAGCAGCAGATTGAGAATCAAAAAACCAATGCTTTATTTGGAAAATACACCAAGAATGCCAGTTACCAGGTATATAGCGAGTAATCAGAGCATCCCTAGTAACTAGTGTTCTGGAAGGGGGCAACATTTTGAAAGAATCACAAACTTCATTTACCGACTAAAAGATTTTGATATTAAACATGTCTCATATACTACTTGTCACATATAATGATTGGCACTTTGCGTATAGGGTTATTTGAAAATATTGATAAAAAAACATTGCACCAGTGTCATGGGTTATGATGTAATTGGATACAATTTTGTTATCATGTTTATAGTCTCTTCATCAAAAGTTACCAAAGAACAAAGTCAATTTATTGCTAATTTTTGAATTATGAGTCAAACACATGATCTGGTCATGTGATTACAGACAAAAAAGGCTTAAGTAAGATAAGGAGACATACATTTAGTATTTTGATACCAATATGTTTCCCAACTAATTCCTAATTTGTTTTAATCTATTGATTATTATATTCTAAAATAAAAGTGAGAATTATGCAGTCTTGTACAGTAACCAGTAATTCAATTATCTTAAAAAACAAGAATGTTAGAATAACTTAAATACTTATCAAAATGTATGTTTATCTGGTGCTTTATTCTCAATTAGAGTTCACAATAGGTTCAAATACACAATAAATAGGGTACACCTTTTACTTGTAGCAAACACAATTAAATAACTGAGTAAATAGTTATTTTTCTCTATGACTCAATATACAATTACCTTTATCTTCCACTCAATTGGTTTAGTAAACCTTCATATAACAAGTACTAATTTTCATGAAGCTTTGTAAGGATTAAATTACTGTATTACTAAATAACATCTGAAACACATCCTGAATTCATTGTTTAACAATGTGTTTAACTACTGTTTATCCTTTATCAGTAACTAAACTATCACTACAATATAGGGATAGGAACCAACTACTTCAAATTTCAGATTACGAAGGACATTTAATTTACCTTCATATAGATTGCTAATCACTGTTTTGTTTGATCTCCCTGGGGTTGCGCACGTATTGTTATCCACACCATCCAGTGTGATATTGAATATAGAAAAGCCTTTGTGCATCTTGTGTTTATTCTGAAAGAATAAACAGTTACGTTTTATGGCTCTCAAAATACGTTGCGTATAGCTGTACTTACCAATGAGTTAGCTTAGAATAATCATTCTCTTGATGTCTGTACTTGAGATAGTTATATTTCTGATCAAGTTAATCTATTATTATTAACTGACATTCATTTTTTTCACATACATATGTTAAAAACAAAACAGGAAATTTTCCTTGTATGACCGCATATCGTGACGTTCGTAGACATGTTGACGTCGACAGGATGCTGATAGATGTCACACACCTGACATGGAACACACAAACAACAAGATATATTTGTTTTGTGCATGACATGTTTAAAATGTCCCAATTCAAATTTGATTCATGCTTTGTTGGTATTTGCTTCATTCGTGCTTTTTTGCTTGATTTGATGATTTGATCCGAATTTTTGAGATGCCATTTTACTAAATAATACAATATTGAAGGCTATGAATTAAGATTAAAATACATTCTGAAACAAAAGCCAAGACATGGAAAACTATGAGTCTTGCATACGGATAAAAGGGCTTCATATTTTACCACCTGTGGTAAGATACTCGCTAAAGCAAAAAAAAATGAGTATTTTAATGCGACAATATTTTAGATCACAGAGAAACGACGAATTGAGCTGCAGAGATACAAACAGCAAGCTATTAAACTAGAAAAACGGCTGCAAAATTGTAGGAAGTTAAAGAGAAATCTTGAAGAGCTAATGCAGGTAAAATTGCCTTCTCATCAAGAAAAACCAGTACTTCCTGAAACAATAAAAACATTAAATCTTAGTGCAGATATTGTAAATATAACAGAATTTAGCAGTGATGGTATTAAAGTATGGAGTGGAAATGAATGTGTTCACAAAAAGGAAAGTGTGGATACAATTCCATCTAGTGTCAACCAGATAGTTGATAGTAAAAGTAAAGAGGAGAATGAAAGTAGCAAAGAAGATTTACAAGATAAGGCAGATAGCAGCACTGACACCTTTGAATTAAGTCCTTCCCTTGAAAAATCATCACAAGCCTCAAGCAATATTTTCAGGTACGTTTTTATAGTATGAGTAATATTAGGCTGTAGGTACTTCTATTTATCATCTGCCTGTCTGTCTGTGAGCCCACAATAATCTAATATGTCTGATATTTTCATTTTGAGATTTATGTTTATAATTATTATTATATTAATTATTTTTTGTCAGGGAGAATATTGGTGTTTCAAGAGAGCTATATTGTAGAGACTATCTCATAAAAATTGACCTTTCATCTAACCATTTTGTATGTCTGTTTAGGAAAAGAAGTTATATACAAAAGTTATAGAGTCTAATTTAAAGTTTTTGATTCATGTCCTTTTTGGCCTTGGAAGACTGCCACTGAATAAACATATTTTTTAAATAGTACCCTGTCTGTTTTTAGTGAAAATGCTCACTTTCTTTCTAGTTTCAAATATGGAACTTTATTCCTAAGCACTTTTGCATAGAAAAAGAAATTGTATGTAAAACATTGAACGTGAGCATGGAATATATGAAAATGAACTGAACTAATCTTGTTTCAGAAAAACAGATTTAGACCAGCTGGACCCAGAACCAGAAAAAGAATCTATATCTACAGAAACATGTTCCAACATATCAGATTTCACATCCCAACCTAGACCGAGACTGATTCGTAGTAACTCATATACCTTAGAAGCTCCTAGTCCTATACTTTTAGCACATTTGGAAAAAACTAATAAGGGTATTGAAACACAAAATGATCTCTCACAACAGAATTTAGCAAGAAACTGGACATCTCTAGAAGACAACTACATACCTTTTGAAAGGAGTGCATTTAGTAGTATGGATACTGTCTTAAATGCTGATGATTTAAGTTGTAGTGAAAATAAAATCAAAGAATCTCGTTCACCTCAGGTAAGTTGCATGTCTATATATTTGTGAAGTTGTTCTTGAATGTGACAACTGTGACGTATCTTTTGCAGGTAGCTGTAGTCCAAACAGATATCTCAGTACAACACATATCAGTTAGAGGTGAAGAGGGTGATGAGAAAAGATTAATGGAGGTTTTAGATAAAATACCTGAAGCATACTCAAAACAGATATTAGAATTAATAGAAAAACATTTTGGTTCATTAAATGCGGAAAAAACCACGCAGCAAGTAGATAAAACTATAACTGAACATAGTGAGAAAGAAGAATCTTGTGCTTTCCTTGAAGAAAATCATGTAGATACAAATCATTCTGATGCATCAAATGAAAATAGTTATACACCACAGGTGCATAAAAATGTTACTGTAAGAAAAAATAGTAGTCCTGCAAAGATGGAATACTTTCCAGGTGGGCAGAAAATGACCACCACATATGTAGAACAAAAGTCATTTGATAGAAGTAAGGCAGTGATACCTGCAGTTGATAGCTGTATTCTTAGGCGAAGGAGGTTGAGTTTCCCTAATGACAATCCTCCACATTTTAGTAGGTCTATGAACATCATTAGGCGGGTAAGTTAGATATTGTTACTCCAGGTATTTTAGGATTTAGTGAAATTCCCCAAAGAATGTTCAACAATAAGCTTAATGCATACAAATTGCCCCATATTAAATTATATACAATTAAAGGGTCCTACATTTTTTCTTCATTAATCTATGATTCAGTTTTTTACCAAGGAAAGTGTTCGCCAGCAGCAAAGTGGACAGTCTGGGAACTAAATCGATCGCCGCGCACGCGGTGGACAAAAAGGGCAACATCGTCGGCTTGATAGTGGAATATAGGCGTGGTCTCTGTCGTGAAATCTGTATCAAGTAAACCTGGCAAAAGTGTAAATATTTTACTGTCATCTTTTGTTAGATCAAAGGAGAGTTGTCGGTTTGAAATTCAACTTATACCTATCAAATTGACTAAATGTCTTAATTTCATTGATACCCGTTTATTTTTATATTGCATGTGTCAAGCAATGAGAAAAGTTTTCTTTTTATACCTGAGCCACCATGCAGGCCTAAATACCCATAGGTATCCTGTAGCTAAAAAGGGATACAGGTGTAGGGAGAGACGTCACATGAACACATGCTAGCCCCACCTTATAGATCTTTTGAGTTGTACCTCCACGCTTGTCGGTCTGAGACCTTCTATCTCCTACAGACAATCACAACATCCATAGCCAAGAGAAAAATTTCCTTGTGACGGGATTCGAACCTGCATAGCTCACAGTGACTAGTTTAGTACCTGTGTGGCGCTGTCATCGCGCACCGATCGAACACACCTCAAAATTGCAATTGAATTATTTTGTGAAATTATTAAGTCAGCTTTTCAATCTTCAGGAATGGGCTGCGAGGGTAATATGTGCTCATGCTAGGGGATACTTAACGCGTAGGCTGTTAAAAACTGAAAGGGTGCAGTCACTAATAATGACAATCAAGGATGCTTTGATGTGTGCTTTGCAACTACATAGTGCAGACAATATCAACGAGGCTGACGTTGAGCTCCATAGAAGACTCATTAATCAGGTAAAAATACATACTGGTTCGGCAGGTCCCGTATTTAATGTGTAGGAGAAGGATAGATAGAGAGAGAAACGTGTATGTTAGAGCAAGATGCGTGATAGAAGAAACGCTCTTCCTGTTCGTTCGTTTCGGACTATTAATTCGCGCTATCGCGTTTCTCTCTTTCTCATACGCATGCGGGCATAAATGATTTTCTCCCAATCCTGTATATGTAAGTAAAAGAAGGTCTGGAAGTAGCCAATAATTTTTTTTCTAACAGTCAAAATATTAGACTAATCTTATTAGACGAAAATACCCCTGGTTTGCGAAATAATTGTAAAGTTTGGTTTTATTGGTGAAAGTTGTTCAAGGGGATATTCAAAACATGGACGTATAAAATGTGTAAACCAATTTTTGTAGGAAAACTTTATTCGCCAACAAAGAATGTGAAAACGCGTTGTTTGAGAGAGATTCAATCGAAAGTGTTGGCAGGAAATAAAAAACTCTTCATATAAGATTTTTAGGTATTTATGAGACCTACAAAATGAGTCAATACGTAAAAAGATCTGACTAATAGCAAAAAAGTTATGGCCGAAAACCGAGGCACACTGCAACTTTTGGTACTTGTTGGTATTGCGACGATGGAGTAGATTGGTCAAGTAATTTTTGTTAACTTCTAATTGTTTATCCCAAAAACACCTGTTTTCTGGCCGTCACTACTAGTTTATTGAGCAATATACAGGGTCAGTTCAAAGGGCAATTTATAGCAAAATACACTAGTTTACCTAGCCGATATGAATCGCGTATCATTCCAGAAGATAAATGTGATTTTTATGCAAAAAAGGATGGGTTACGTTTTTTCTTCTAAACAAATTCAAACATTTTAAATTAATGTGTATAGTAACGTAATACGAAATGTTTGAATTAGCTTAGAAGAAAAAAACGTAACATTTGTTTTTCGCATAAAAATAACATTTATATTTCGGAACGATTTGTGATTCATATTGGCAAGGCAAACACGTGTATTTTGCTATTAAATGCTCTTTAAACGAACACTGTATATTGCTCAATAAAGAAGTGATGGCTGGAAAACAGGTGTTTTGGCATCAATAATTACAAATTCTCCAAAACTACTTGACCAATATACTCCAATTTTGTTGTTGTTATTTAGAAGTATAAATCCTACGGATTTTAAGAATTTCAAGTAGTTGCATGAAACTATCATCGCATTACCAACAAGTTTCCCTCGTTTTTCGGCCATAACTTCTTTACTATTAGTGGGATATTCTTACGTGTGGTCTCACTTTGTAGGTCTAGTAATAACCTAAAAATCGTATATGAAAAGTTTTTTCGTTTCTGTCAACACTTTCGATTGAACCCCAAAAAACACGTTTTCTCATTCTTTGTTGTCAAATAAAAAGTGTTCCCAGAAAAATTGGCGTACCCATTTCATGCGTTCATATTTTAAATACCCCATTGAACAACTTGCACCAATAAAATCAGACTTTACAATTATTTCGGAGAAATTTGCTAATATGATTAGACTATATCCAAACCCAAGTTGCATAATCTTAAAGCGTCGATTGTCTGACATGTTTTATCCAGAAGATATAAAGTCATTTTCTTGTGTCTGTGGAAGCCAGGCCCGACGAGAGGGGGTGATCTGGGACTTTCTCCCTGGGCCCGTAGTTCTCAGGGGCCCATTGCTCAGACTAGAGTATATTTAGGGTTAGGTGGTAGAATAGATATAGTATCTAAATCTCACCTCCTGTAATACTATTACAAATAAAAAATACGTTAATCATTATTATTATTATTTCAGTTTTTTTCTGATAAAAGAACATAGTCCATCATAATGTTAGAGCGTCAAATGTTATAAGAAAAATTGCATGCTCCGAAATTTTGATAATTAAATGTGAAACGCAAATTTTATCCCACACAAATGGGATCTTCACTTAAATTGCAAAAGATTTTTTGATGATAATGATATTTCACGCCATGTTGATCTTCTGTTCAATTGTAGCAATAATGAATCGAAGTCAGTTGCTATGAATGTTCTCTTATATTTATTTTCATTAAAAATATTGTTCCGTTTTTCTAATCTATTTTTTCTTATAATTTCGTATTGAACGATATTTTCGTAAAATTGTTGCTCCGTTGGGCTGCTATTATTACGATACAAATAAATTAGTCTTTAAAAATTAGTAGTCGGAATTCCTCCCTACTATCCTCGTGGAAGTAGAAAAATGCTCTACCAGAATTAGAATCACTCCCAGGATTTTGACATAGGTAGAAGGGGGCGTAATAAGTAAAATGAATAGCATATTGCACCTTTTCTAGGTATCGTCAGCGTGTTACGCATTCCACGACATGTTCTTTGCTTACTCCATTCCCGAGCAAATGGCGATGATTGCAGCAGATAGGCAAAGAAAGCAGGAAAAATCGAATAGGCCTTCTTCAGCGCCTACTTCCAAGTCTAGATTATCGAGTCGGTCCAGCAGTAGGCGATCGACACCCCAATCGCGAAGTTTGACAAACGTATCAAATTGAATATACTTTTGAAATTTTTCTATATATGACACTCCTGGCTGATACAGCTGATGGGTAGAATTTATGTGCTTTTTAATTGTGGCCTTAATAAAAATTTATATTTTATAGATAGGCTGTTTCTCTAAACACAATGCTTTCGTCCGTCCGACCAAAAGACAGCCAGCTGTGGACAGCTGTTTCGTGCTTCTTGGCTACTCATCAGCATGGTCTAGGCTCGGTGTCTCGTCTCTGGTACAACGAACGAAAGCATCGCAACTATCCTCTATCCAGGAGGTACAGTCTATAGTCTAATCATATTAGACGAAAATACCCCTGGTTTATGAAATAATTGTAAAGCCTGGTTTTATTGCTGCAAGTTGTTCAAGCGGGGTAATCAAAACATAGAAGCATAAAGTGGGTTCACCAATTGTTGTGGGAAAACTTTTTATTCGACAACAAAGAATGAGAAAACGTGTTTTTTGGGGTTCAATCAAAAGTGTTGGCAGGTACGAAAAAACGTCATGTAAGATTTTCAGTTATTTATGAGACCTACAAAATGAGACAAGATGTAAAAAGATCCGACTAATAGCAAAAAAGTTGTGGCCGAAAACCGAGGCAAACTGCAGGTTTTGGCACTTGTTGGTAATTGGACGATGGTTTCTCGCAAATATTTGAAATTCGTAGGATTCGAACTTCTAAATAACCACAACAAAATTGGAGCAGATTGGTCAAGTAGGATAATTTCTAATTGTTTATCCCAAAACACCTGTCTTCCGGCCATTACTACTAGTTTATTGAGCAATATACGTAGTCGTGCCATAAGTTCTGTCCCATGATAATCTCATGATAAAAATGAAACAAGATAAGATATATTTATATGAAAGATATTATTTATTCGACAACATTTTTAGAATTCATAATCAAACAGTTTTATTCAAAATGTCCCCCCTTGGCCTTCACACCCTGCTTCAATCTCGCGGGCCACTCATCTATCACTGCACGCACAGCTTCCAAAGGAATAGCTGCCGCTGATCGGATCAAATCCGCTTTCAGGGACTCGATATTACGGTGGGCTTTGGAGCAGGCCAACTGCTCTAGCAGGTCCCACAACTTGTAGTCTAAAGGATTGAGGTCCGGACTCCCTGAGGGCCAATCTTCCGCAGCAATGAACTCTGGCACATTGCTTTCCAGCCAGCGCTGCGTACTCTTAGCCTTGTGAGCGGGGGCGGAATCCTGCTGGTAGACCCAGTGTTGGTTGGCAAACAATGTACCACTTAAAGGCTTGACGATAGGATCCAGTATGTCGCTCTGATAGTTTGCCGCTTTTGTTTTCACGCCCTGTTTACAGAAATGGAGCTGAGTGACCCCTTCGTAGGACACCCCCCACCAAACCATGACTGACACAGGGTGGTGGCCTCTCTCAACTCTCGGAATGATCTCCGAAGCTTCCTGTGAACTCCTTGCATACACTTTGTCATTTTGTCGGTTGAATTTTTCTTCTATGGTGAAGATTTTCTCATCCGTGAACAAAATCTTTCGGAATCCCCCAGCTGCGTACCTCTCCAAGAGCTTCTTGGATCTTGTCGCCCTGATGTGTCGCAAGGTGGCCGTAAGTCGCTGGCCCGTACGTCTCCGGTAAGCCCCTAGCCCTAGGTCTTGTTTAATGATGCGCGACATCGTCCGGACAGGAATCTTCATTTCCCTGGATAGGATCTTCTGCTTCCGGAGTGGATTCCTTTGAATCCTGGCTTTTACGGCTTTGATGGCTGCTGGAGTCCTTACTTGACGAGGTCTTCCGCTTCTTGGCCTGTCATCAACAGAGGACGTCTCATTGTACCGCTGAATGGTCCTAGACACAAATTTACGCGATATTTGAAGGCCGCGTAAGAGTTCAAAAATCTGACTAGCACTGTGATTACACTTATGTAAAGCTATCACTGCAATACGGTTCTCTGCCTTGCCCCACTCCATCGTTATGCTTCGAGAGATCAATACAAACTGAGGTATATGTAATTACCCGAAAAGCGCTTAATCAACTGACACCACAATGTAAACAATCGGACAAGTATTAACAGGTCTACACTTGTTTGAAAACGAGGGACAGAACTTATGGCATGACTACGTACAGGGTTAGTTCAAAGGGCATTTTATAGCAAAATACACCAGTTTACCTTGCCGATCTGAATCGCAAACCATTCCGGAAGGTAAATGTTATTTTTATGCAAAAAAAGATGGGTCACGTTTTTTATTCTAAACAAATTCAAACATTTCGTATTAGTAACGTATGTTTTCGAATATCGTAGCGCTTTTGTTAAATTACTCACAAATACGAAATGTTTGAATTTGTTTAGAAGAAAAAACGTAATCTTTGTTTTTCGCATAAAAATAACGTTTATCACTCGGAATGGTTTGTGATTCATATCGGCAAGGTAAACTCGTGTATTTCGCTATAAAATGGAATTTAAACGAACCCTGTATATTGCTCATTAAACTAGTAGTGATGGCCGGAAGACAGGTGATTTGGGATAAGCAATTAGAAATTCTCAAAAACTACTTGACCAATCGACTCCAATTTTGTTGTGGTTATTTAGAAGTATAAAGCCTACGGATATGAAAAATTTCAATTAGCTGCGTGAAGTTATCGTCGCATTACCAACAAGTGCCAAAACCTGCATTTTGCCTCGTTTTTCGGCCATACAATTTTTGTTATTAGTCGGATCTTTCTTTTTACGTGTGGTCTCATTTTGTTGGTCTCATAAATACCTAAAAATCTTATATGAAATGATTTTTCGTTCCTGTCAACACTTTCGATTGAATCCCAAAAAACACATTTTCTCATTCTTTCAAATAAAAATTTCTCACAAAAATTGGTGGACCCATTTTATGCGTCCATGTTTTAAATACCCCCTTGAACAACTTGCACAAATAAAACAAGACTTTACAATTATTTCGGGGTTTGCTAATACTTCATACCAGAATCGATCACTGCGGATATCGTATAGCTGTTATTTGTAGGATCTCAGTTCACGTATAATAGCCCACTCACCTAGTTACCGCTAGATCGCTGATGGTTCTGGCAGTAGATGTGGTCTACTTGCCATTGAATGAACATTTTTAGATGGCTGATGATTCTGTGTGTAAAAAGACTTTATGTGCTTTACATCCAGAATCGGAGAATCTAGCGGTCACGTGGTGATTGGGCTATTAAACGTGAACTGGGATCCGTAACAATTCCAACTAATAGCAGCTATGCGCTCCCGCAGTGGTCGATTTTGGTGGGATAGATGGCGCTTCGCGCACATATTTCGATAGACTGTTTCTCATTTCATTGGTCACGCTCACAGAACAAAGCACTGGGTAACAGGATGACGCAGATGTGTCGAACGCGGTGTCCTATTTCAGTCCCCTCCATATTTCTAAAACTGCTCATTCTAGAAAAAAGTTGTAGTTTTGAGGGGGCAACATGACGATGACATTATGACCTCTACTACGTCCTTGAAGGTCAAGTAAATATTTTCAAATAGAACCCCCCCTTTTTTCACATCGGAATTTTACGTCCCATCATCACCTTGGTGATGACCTTGATTTCAACGTCAAATCAAGACATCGAAAACAATTTGTTCTAGCAAAAATGTTCGACGGCACAAACGGTTCTTGGGGGCACACAAAGGTGACCTCAAAGGTTATTTTATCCTGGAACTGCATCAAGCAGGACCTCAGGCAGGACATTTTACGTCCGAATCTGACCTTGATTTCAAAGTCAAGCTTAAATGTTATTTGAGGTAAAGGTAACAGCCGGACGTACCATTTTTTCTTTTTCCATTCACAGTATGAACATGAGAGGTTTCCTTTGAAAATTTTGCACTGGGCCTTGAAGGTCATGGTATAGGTCACCTTTGGGCGATCCCACAAACCTAGAGCAAGTTATTTTCGATGTCTTGATTTGACGTTGAAATGGCCTTGAATGCAATGGTCAACGTCAGGGTCAAGGTGATGTTCGGACGTAGAATTCGCTCCTCTTTTCAATTCCAATATGAAAAAGGACGGTTCTATTGAGTGTCGTGGCCAAGGTCACCTCGAAACCCTACAACTCGTTTGAAACTGTTTTTCAATATGCGCAGTTTTCGAAATATTTATTTGGAGAGATTAATATGCGACACTATTGTACAGGATGGCCGATATGTAACTGACTGGTTTGTAACTTGAATATTTGTGAAATGAAATAAAATACGTCCATTTTTTCATCTTATTCTTTTAGAAATTATCCATGAAAAATATCAGACAAATGTCCGCCTCTAGTAGCCGCGCAAACCTGAGTCCTCATGATTACATTTTCCATCACTTTTTGGTAGGTTTCGGGAGGAATATTTTCAATCGCTTCCGTAATTTTGTTCTTCAGCTGTTCTACAGTATTTGGTTTGTTGGCATCAACCCTACTTTTCAAAAATACCCATAAAAAAGTCAGGAGCCGTTAAAGAACTGGACAAATGTGCTTTAAACAACTACTACGGTGCCACCTACTGAAATGCGTGTATCAAAAATTGCTCGCAATTTAAATGTCAGTTATATATTGTCCACCCTGTAGAATTGCCATATATGAACTGATCTGAAGGAATAAGTTTTATGATAACTATTGTCTTAAACAACAACTTCAAAGGCGGAGAATGGCAGTAAAACAAATACGTCATTAAAACGAGCTTTATATTTGTATTTTAAAACAAAAATTGATTTTAACGAAGATTTGCATAAATATACATGTCTAAATAACGTATTGACAATAAGCATTCAAACCTGTTATGTTCAAATACAGAGGATAATAGATGTCAAAAATGATAAATGCACTGCTCAATAATTTTATTTATATTATAACATCAATATATTAAGTACGTTTCAATTTCACCGACAGTTTTGATTTGTTCCTCTTCAACTGAACAATATAAAATATTCACGGAATTTTTGTTCCAGAAATGTTGCCAAAACCAAAAGAAGTCTGCATCTTTATAAATAAGGAATAATAAGGGTTATTACTTTCAAGAGTTATTTGAATTTTTCCATTCAAATACAAATGAGAGAAATTTGAATAGAGGACAATACAAGGACTTCATATAGTTAGATACAAGTGTTTGCTCCAATTATCCTTTAGATTTGAACACGTTTGATTTCAATACATTAATATTTGATATTGCGTTGATTAGAATATATAAATTACAATAATGATAAAAGGCACAATAACAAATGTATAGCTATATGCGTACAGCATTTGCAGGTACAACATTGTAACAGGAAATTGAGAGTACCGTATCTTGAAGAAAATTATTTTGCAAAAGTAGAGTTCCCTATTTTAAATAAAAACCAGCATCGAAAATACGGCTATTAGAAACTGACAAAACGCTATAAAAAGCAAAATGTTCTCGTAAAACGTGTTTTGCTCATACAGATTACGTTGTACTTCACCATCTGAGCAATACGCGTATATTACTAAACTTGATATCACTGGGTATTTCAAGATTTCGGTCTTGTAATAAGTGACCTATGTTAAGCGAAGTTTAAAATACAGTATCTACTTGCTAATCATATCACTAGTGTATCGACATTAAAGGAATGTACAGAATTTTGAAACCACCAATTATATGTCAAGTTCATCCTAAAATTGGAATCCGTGATAATTCAATTATTGAATTTAAAAAGCCGCTTTAACCCTTATAGCGCCATATGTATCTATCTGATACAAATTGAGTTTACATAATGAGGCCACATGTATAGATTCGATACATATTTGCTTTACAGTGGGAGGCCATATGTATCAGAATGATACAACACTAAAGGGTTGCATTAAAAGCTTCTGTATCATCTCGATACATGGTTTAGCTTACTTTCAATGGTAAAACGACCTTGAATGGCCTCGTACTGTACATCCTTTCTTTGGCGGGCGAAAAATTAAGGAGGGGGAGGATGAAGAAGGTTTTTTCTGAGACTGTGTTGATACTTTTTGACGTGAGGGCTGGTCTACACCTATGTACAATCCCAATTGATGTAAATCATAAAGCATAAACATAAAACCTGAATTTTATGTGTTCTTATGATTATGATGATGTTTTAGGAACGCACTGATAAGAAATTCGTATTCAACTCTTATAATAATCGTTGCAACTACGATTGTGATTTCAACAAGCATTGATGTAGACCAGCCTTAACGTCAACAAAGCCAGCCACATGGTTTTGGCAAAGAGTATCCAACTAACGATATCCTTTGCTTTGGACATATATGTTTGACAATTCGAATTTAACACTAGGTTTTTCCAAATAACGCGTTTATGTTCTTCCACTGCGGATGCTGTTATCTAGAGACGGGAAATATGGTTATTTTGAAATAACTGTTATGACTGTTGATGCTATTTTTGAATAACTTTTTAAAATAACAGTATAAAATAGCAAACTGCTATTCCGTGGTATCCTGGTTGCCTATGTGCATTGATAAATAACAACCAACCCCTACTGTTATCCGTGCTAATCGTGTTGTCGCATTATTCAGTCAGTTGTGTTCTCGTACGTTTGTGTACTTATGTTATAAATGATGTCGGGTAGAAAAGTATATACAGACGATGAGTTGGTCGCAATTCTTGAAGGAAACGATGACGACGGACGTAGTAGCGGGAGTAGCTGTAAGTATGATTCTTATTTACGTTATTTACGAACGTCAAATATTCATTTTCATAGTAGGTGTACGTTATTGACCGGTAACCTTCAAATTTATCACACATAATTCATTAGTATGTCCTATTCACCTATTCACATATTCACGCTAGATCTGAGATTTACCTTACGTTACTGTTGTTTTAGTGGAGGATTCATCTGAGGACGATGATGAAGATTATGAAGCCCTTGAAGGTGAAGTCGAGACAAATGGCAATGAAGATGATGACGTACTTGAAGCGGGTGTTCAAGAGGCACAAGGAGAAAGGAGCTGGTCAGAACCATCATGTGATCTTTTCAATTTTGATTGCAACAAGACAAACGCAGTTTCTCAACATTGTTTGATGCTCTTAGAGCACACCGAAAAAACACCGCTAGATTTTTATAATCTCTTTCTTGATGATGAGATTATGGATCTAATTGTCTCCAATACAAACCTCTATGCCACCCAGGAACTTTGTAAGCTCATTGCGCGAGAAGAAATTACTACTGGGAGTAGATATAATGCTTGGACTGATACAAACAGGGAGGAAATGAAAATCTTCATCGCGTTTTTACTATGGATGGGACTAGACCGAAAACCCGAAATTCGCGACTATTGGAAGAAACATATTCTGTACAAAAATGATGTCAGTTGCTATATTAGTAGAAATAGGTTTGAATTATTGTTGGGATTCATCCACTTTGCTGATAATGAAATGGCATCTCCAGACAACAGACTGTACAAAATCGAACATTTACTCCGCTTGCTGAACAACAAATTTTCCATAATGTTTGAACCTGGAGAAAAAATTACCATAGATGAGTCGATGATTCCGTTCAGAGGGCGAATAAAATTTCGCCAATACATTCCAAGTAAGCGCCACAAGTATGGTTTGAAGGTTTACAAAGTGTGTCTGTTGGGTGGATACACTTGGCACGCGAAAGTATACACAGGAAAAGCCTCTTCTGGAAATCTCACTGTTACCACTAGAACTACTATGGAACTGATGGAGCCATTGTTGGACCAAGGGAGAACCCTGTTTACTGATCGCTTTTATACAAGTGTTGAATTGGCAGAAGAACTTTTGAAAAGAAAAACCCATTTACTCGGTACCCTTAGAGTGAATAGAAAACATAACCCACATGGAGTTACCAAAGCAAAACTTAGGCGAGGGGATATGAAATATTTGCAACATAGTGAGAAAAAAATCATTATTGGAAAATGGAAGGACAAAAGAGATGTCCTTTTCTTGACTACAAAACAAGTGCCGCATTTAGTGGAGATTGAAAGCAGAGGAGGAAGAAGAATGCAAAAACCTTCGACCATAGTGGATTACAATTCTGCTAAAGGTTATATAGATTTGTCAGACCAGATGGCAGGTTACTGCAGTCCACTGCGTAAAGGCCTCAAATGGCATAGAAAACTTGCGTTTGATCTCCTAACAAACACCGCAGTTGTAAACAGTCACAGATTGTATACACTGGTGGTAAGGAAAAAAATAACAATTGTCCGGTTTAGGGAGGAAATCGTGACAGCAATATTGGAAAATCTAAGAACCTTAGATGAGCAGGCACTGCTGACTCCCCAACAACTACATCATAAACACCGATTGACTGAAAATCGCCCAAAAAGAGGACGTTGCGTGGTTTGCTACAAGTTCCAAAAGCAATTCGACTCAAAGAAGGCCACAACACTCAGCAAACAAGTTAAAACCTCATGTGTTTCATGCACACATAAGTTTATGTGCATTGATTGTTTTTTTCTAACACACAACTGTGTGCCAAGCAAACGATAATTTCATTCTATTTTCTGTTTTCCACAATTTTTGTTCTTTGTAAATATATTGTATAAATATCACTGAAGTTGTCTTTTTATCATTTTTCCCCAATTAGTTTGAAATTTCCATAAGATGTATACGAATGGAAATATGTATCGAATGTACACACGTGGCGTGGGGTTGAGAAAATTCGAGAGTCACACCACGAGGCCACATGTATAGATTTGATACATTTGCCATTTTGGCAAAATTTGCTCTTCACATGGGCTAATACTTATTCAACATCATCCGTATATACTTTATCTGAATAAAGAAATTAAAAAACACTTCTGGCCTGGGGGTGTGACCTACTGAAAAAAGGCTGGCCTCAACGGGTAGACAGGTTTTTTTCGCTTGGCGCTAGTAGTGTTAAGGAGAAAAATGTGTCACGTATTTTAGGATGTAGTGCGGCATCAAAATAAATTCTGAGATTTTTCAGAAATTTTTGACGGGACTTTAACTTAGTGCCTTCTTTCATATACGGTATTCTCATATTTATCAGACTACATATGTACCGCAAAATCTGAATATCTAACATTTATTAAATGAACAATATATACATATTGATTACACAAATTCATTATAAACTTACAGCTACATTCTTTCAACGTACAACCTCTAGCAAAAATATCGAATAATTACATCACTTGCCATTAAATGTTTATGTTAGTATAACGTCGATGTATTGCATCCTCTGCCACCATACATGGCGATACTGATCTCAAAACATATTCACTGACATTAAGGTTATTGGGATATAACCGTAAACATCAACTGTTACCTACTATTGGCCGCTGAAGCACAAGTATCGCACCTCTATATGGAGGGAGATACAATTATTTGTTGGTTGTTTATATGTTTTCTCGAGATTGTCGAATTTTTTAGGTCAAGATTTTACAAACCTTCAGTTGCAGATTTTCAGAAATGCACCAATAGTAATAAAAAAATTTCATCGAACACTGAAAGCTAACTTCTAGATACAGAGAAGAATCACTTTCCTCACTACTGTTGTCACTATATACAAGCGCAAAACCAGCGCTCCAACTGCCATTGTACATGCCAAATAGGTACATTTCTTGCCATTCAAATAAAACGGTATTTGATTTGGAGTTGAACATCTCAGTTACTTTGCATAAAATCATATGCATATCATATGCTATAATACTGACGTTTATAAAACGTTTATTATATAAGTAGATTACCAACGTAACAAAACATTAAGGTCGACCTGATGATTTAATACCATCTCCACTTAGTACACCATAACCTACATCATATTTACAATGATGGCCAATAATTTATTTTGTAGAATATCACAAGAAACTAGCTTTATTAGTCGAGTCTAACTAATTATCGCGTAAAGTGGAGTGTCTTCTTTGACTATGTGGCCGTTATGTGGAAAACTGGACCTATCCTCAAAAACACTCTTCTTAAGATCGATCGTAGCTCTACCTTCAAGTCAAAGCAGACTATCTCACATAGGAGGGGGTAGTACCTGGATACATGCACTGCAAACTAGAGACAAAAAAATCAGCATACTATTCTAATTATAAATATCTCGGACGTGAGAGGTCAAAGAGGATGCGCAATGATAGAGAATTGAATAATGTTTAACCGTTTTTGACGATTTTGCAATTGCGCAGTCACAAAGGCAAAACTGAGAAACCGGTAATCAGAAAATGTTCAAAGGATTTAGTGATAGTTAATAATGGGTACTGAACATAACATTTGTGAATCTGGGAAAAATGTATGCGACACCAGGCCTTTTGTCAGAGAGTTGGATACAGAGTCGTTCAATTTTCTTCCCTACAGTCAGTAGATTAATTAATTTGATGATAATTTATCACAGCTGTTTCTCCTCTCTGCAGTAATTAAAAATCTAATTTGAAGAGGTCAGTGTCTCATAGTTGTCTATAGCGCCATCTATGAGACACTTTTCAAATAAGATTTATAATTATTACGGAGAACAGAAGCATAGCTGTGACAAATTTTCATCTTGGAAAACTTTTTGAGCGCCGATACCCTATTCGTAGTCCATTCACGCCCGGCACAACAATGATGCACCGCGGCAAAGAGCAGCCGCCTAAGCGTTGCAATAGCTATCGGTCATTCAACCATAAAACTACGAACAAGTGCAGGATTCGACAATATAGAAGTTAGGCTCGGGGAATCGCCGGCAGTTGCTGTTCAATGTCTATCAATTTTTTGAAAGGCAGGAACTTCCCACCATAGCATTACAGGAGGTTAATAGTGATGAAGACTTACCTACTTTTAAATGGATCACATTCGATAGTTTACTCAAAAAACTTCATTTTGAGTGTAGAAAACGGAGCAGAAATAGTAATTTGATGGGCAGCCAAGAGATTATTTTATGGAAAAGAAATTATTTAAAATCAATAAAGAAATACTGCGACCAGGGCAGGAAGATTTATTATTTGGATGAAACCTGATAAATGCAGGACATACAAAACCTAAAGTTTGGGCTGACTCTACAATTGAATCAACAAGACAAGTTCTTAGATGGACTAACCACTGGTCTAAAGAATCCGTCGGGTACGTGTATCTAACCAATTCGTCGTTTGTGTTGTAAAAATGGTGTCAAGTAGATTGAATGCTGAAAACTTAGCTACACCAAACTTAACTATATCTGGTAGATTTCCAGGAAAAGGGAAACGATTTGTTATCTGTCACATTGGTAGTGAAGATGGCTTTGTGCCCACTGCCCCATTGTACTTGATAATGCTACATACCACACTGGAAAACTAGAAAAAATTCCTATATTGTCCGCAAGAAAGGCAGAAATTCAACAATGTCCCCTATCAAAAGACATTACTTTCGATGAAAATATGCTCAAAGTAGAACTTACCCATCTAGTCAGGCAGCACAAATATAAATATAATCTTAATGTTCTTGACGAAATGGCTAAAAACCAAAATCAGACTGTTTTAAGGCTACCCCCTATCACTGCGAATTAAATCCCATTGAAATGATTTGGGCAAATATAAAAAACTATGTGGCTTCAAACAAAAGAAAATTTTCTGACGTGAAAAATTAGTTTTATGAAGCTGTCAACATAGTGACTGCGAACCATTGGAAAGATTGCATCCGTCACGTGCAAAAGACAACTGAAACAAAGATGTAGGATCTGGATAATATGATTGATATTCAAATTGAACCTGTAATAATTAATATTAACCATTCGGACGATGATTTAAGTACTTCCAGCGAATAAAGAATTGTGAACAGTATGTGCACTTCTTTCTATAAAAATAATCATTTATTTTATTAGATTACTCCAAGACCATTGGGGAAAATACGGACCTGTACAATCTCGCATTTGGGCGTAAATGGTCTACGAATAGGGTATATCTATCTTGAGGTAGAAAATAATAATGCTATAGCTCAAATATTGTTCTGGTACTCTAATTGGCTGCATGTCAATGTCTTCAATGTGTAACGAATAATTATGGAGTCAAAACAGATCCGTGGGAAATATTCTCGTTGGCACTCAGGGAAGAAAGGAGTACTTCCGAGCTTTGAACTGTCTTTTCACAATACAATTTCAGCTAATGCAAATGTACGAAATTCAACTTACCCTACTATCCGGCATTTTCAACAGGCGAGTCAGCACTAAAAGCAGCAATGAAGTCCAAGCTTCCCTATGCGTCTCACTCTGCAAATTAAGAAAATACTCCAACGCCTCTTGACAGGTTTGTATGAGGCTTGCTTCGATAGCTGGCCAATGTTGTTGCCTACTTTCGTCGCAGTACATCTTGAACAGGATACGAAGAGAGCAGGCCAAGCTCTGGGTTTCTTGTTTCAGGAGATTCGGCTTTGAGGAACCTTTGTAACCCGCTTTCCATAGTAGGTTACGCTGTTCGTGGTTCAAGTTGAAAGCTTTTGCAAACCTTTGCAGAAAAAAATGCTACTAGAAAATGCACATCTTCACCCATTTCACACATATCCATCTCCCTCACACATACACATACGTGTAATCTACATCAGTGATGGTGTAAGTTACATGAGCCATCTTGGTTACAAACGCTGATACTTTCCAGAACATGTATTTTTTATTTTTTTATTTTGTATGTCATTTATTTATTAAAATTTACGCTAAACCTACGGTAATACTGTTCGTTAGCTAAGGGTTTCAGTACCTGTGCGACTGCAGAAGACATTCATTCAGTTTCAACAAATGCGGGGATTTCAACAGCCTGTACATTCCTTGCTCTTCCCTTTGACATTCTGACAACGATCCATTGCCAGTGATGTCCGCAGCTGCCAGAGCTAGGGTCTCCGCGTCTTCTTTTCTAGAAGTCGCTGGGTAGAAGATGATGTTGTCTATCGTCTGTATCAACTCCAACTGAACTGCACTTCTGATTGCTAGGCTATTGAAAAGTTGAAAATCGCCGCCTAGATTTGGGTCGTAGTAACTGGATTTCTTTAGTATGCCCTGAAATATTTTGTATGCCGCTCATTTGTATCTCTTTAGCATTATACGAGGGTGAATCAAATATGAATCGGACTTTTAGTAATTTTATTGGTATAGTAAAAACAAGTTTATCTTATTTTTCTACACAATCTCCTCTCTTATTTATGCATTTTCCCCATCAGATCGGAAGTATTCTAATTTCTCCATCAAAGAATGAAGCTGGTCGCATCAGTAGCCAATTGTGCACGAACGTTTCCACACCTTCGTCAACGTCAAAGTGGTGACTTTCCAGGTCTACTTTAAGTGGCCCAACCATGTGATAGTCACATGGCGACAAATCTGGACTGTTAGGCGGATGTTTAAGTGTTTCCCAATGAATTTCGCATAATTTTCCTTGGGTCAATGCAGCTGTGTGTGGCCGAGAGTTGTCAAGGAGCACAACGGCACTTCGAATAGACATGTCTCTTTGCCACTCCATGGAAAAAAAATTTGCCAGTTGAATACTTGTGTCCTTATCGCCGAAAGTGCTGCTAATCGACAAAAGTTTTACTCCCTTTCTATTTTATGATAATGCGTTGGGCAACAGACATGTGCAACTCTTGTTCAGACATGATGCTACTAACAGCTCAACTACTTTGGCGCACCAAACCGACTGACTGCCCTCATCCTGACATCCCCACCCAACATAACATATACCAAGACGTCACCCTATGGCGCGTTAAACAGAAAAGTCCGGATTATATTTGATTCACCCTCGTATTGATTGGATTCTCTGTAAAAATTGTCTATGTACTTGATTCTAACGTAATTAACTATAGTTAAACATGACGTGATTCTCCAATATTGAGGCGACTAATTGGTACAAAAGTACGGGACAGGTTTTTTGAGGCATGTAAAATTTTAGAATGAGATAAATTTAGTCATGCCTGGGAGAAAAAAACGCAAATGGCACGTCCCAGGCACTGAGAAATGATAGTCTGGCTCCGACCTCAATGAGGACAAGCGAAACTGCATTGAGAAATAGCGCTTACCTTGTTCACTATGACATCACCGTTTTGTTCAATTATCGCGGTTGTTTTCATAGATTCAGGCTTCCACGATAACAGTGCTGCAGGGATAGTCGAGTTGAAGATATCTAGCATACATTGGCACGTCTTTTCCCACGTTGTTTCATCGAACTTATGGCCATTTGAGTTTACCAAGTTCTCCAAACAATTTGTACCAGACCTGATAGAAAAATGATCATTGCGATTTAAAGGATACAAATACTAGTGTTTGAATTAATCGTCAAGCTGTGTGGGCCATAAGGTCATTAAAATTTTGATAAAAATATGCAAATGAAACGATTCGCCTTGCATAAAAAATGTTTAAATCTCACTTTTTACTGATCATCAGTTACAAGGAACTTCTTCAAAAAACAATGTTCTGATGTTTCCTAGTTATGAGCTGAACTGGTCCGCCTTACATGACTGTACCGAACTGTCAAAAATTTATTGTTGTATTGTATCATCGGGTTACTGCAAAAACAGATGATTCCCAAAGCGAAGTTTTTAGCAATTAGCATGGCACTGTCGGGTCACACAGAGGCGTGAAAATTGTATTCAAATACAAAATTAGACTATAGGAAAACATAAACTAAACAGTATTATCAGTATCACTTAAAAAGTAGGAAAAACAAAGTACCTTATTTTTGCATAAAGCGAATCTTTTAAGTGAGTTTTTTCTCGACGTTGGTATCGTTCATACGCGAGTATCGTCATTTTAGAAGTTTACCATGACATAGCAGACATTTCTAATAAGTACTAATTCTAACTGATGCAGTGCCGCCGGATTTTTAACGACACTATTTCGATTTTTTACAAAATACTCTTGCTTTTTATTTATAAAGGAGCACTCGGAGATTGAGTACACCATCATGCAAGGGAACTCAAATACAGCGTGGCCGATATGTAACTGACTGGTTTGTATCTTGAATATTTGTCAAATGAAATAAAATACGACCCTTTTTTTCATCTTCCCTAGCTGTGTCACAAGTTGCTCCGTCCTGCTGAAACCACATGTTTTACAGCTTAAATTGTTGGATTTGAAGATCCAGAAAGTTTTGCACCATATCACGGTAAGGCTCGCCAGTGACAGTAAGAGAATTACCTGCAGCGTCTTCAAAGAAGTAAGGTCCAATGACACCTCCACACCAAACACCGCACCAAACTGAGACTCGACGAGGATGTAGTGGTCGTTGATGGATGATACGAGGGTTCTCTAATGCCCAGATACGACAATTCTGCTTGTTAACAAATACGTTCATATCGAAGTGGACTTCATCGCTCATTATCAGTTATCAGTAAAATCGTTATTTTGGGAAGGAAGCTGCAGTATTGCATGAATATATTGTCGATGACTTTCCTGCTCACCAGGCTGTAGTTCTCGGGTTAAAACTGAATTTTGTATGGCCACAAATGCAAGTCTTGTTTTAAAATAGTGCATAATGACGTGCGACGAATACCCATATCTTGAGAACGATGTCTGGTAGACGTCTGAGGGCGCTCCACTACCCTTTCACGAACTCTCTCGATATTTTCCGGAGTACAAACAGCTCGAACACGACCCGACCTTAGCAAGTCTGACGAATGGTGTTGGCACGTTATTTCGACCGAAATCTTGTCGAAGCTTCCGAATCGTTGTAACAATCGACTCATTATTTAAGTAAAACGTTTTAACAATACCGACGCGTTGTGGGTTCGTGTAGCGCTACATGAAGAATTGGATAGATGTGCTTTCAACAACTACTACGGCGCCACCTTGAAATGTGAGTATCAAAAATGGCGCGCAATTTAAATCAGTCAGTTATATATTGGCCAACCTGTATATACAATAACGAATTAATGGTCGATTTAAAGTTTGCTCCTTACCTTGCCAGCTGTTCGTTATCTTGTTGCACACACCAATGCAGCTGCGAATAAAGCTCCTCCAAAAGCAGCGCACCCAATACGTCAAAATACTGCGTGAACACGTCGACTATAGCGTAGAGAGCGTGATTGCAGGTGGTCGTCATCCATTCTGCCTTTTCCGGTTGCTTCTCGGGTAATTTCATGTTGTCGAATATCCTGAACAGTACTTTGAACAGGTCTTTCCACCAGTGAGGCTGGAATGAGCTGCCGTACGTTTTTATTATCTCGAACAGGACGGTTAAAGCTCTGGTACGTACGTCCAGTTTGCATCTGAAGACAATAATTCATAGTTATTTATTTTTTTATTTACGACAATTTCCAGTAACAGCCGTCGAAAAGATCATATGTTGGTTGTTGTTCCCATGTATGCCATGATTAATAGAACGTGCAATAAATCATACAATTTTGATATTCATTTTCATCTCTCCAAGAAACATCATAGCTACCATCAGTATTTAAAAACTTACCTTACTGCACTATTTTTCGTAGTTAAATTCAAACAACACATTGCGTCAGAAAACTTCATGTTGTAACCATGATTAATTTAAACTGACCTGTTAACAACACATGATAAAGAAAAGAGCAGAGGGAACCATCCTCTAACCCAAACTCTATCCTCTTCAGGAACAGCTACGTCATTTTCGATTCCGCCATGCTCGGCAAACAGGTTCGGGGCCTCATTTACGCTAGCAGCACACGTCCTCACGAGTCGGATCGCCTCCATACTGGTATCTGGAAACCTAGCATTGCAGGCGAATTCTGACAGGCACTTCACAGCGTCCTAAAGAAAAGTGACGTTGATTCAACCTGCACGCCTCAACGCAAGTTGTTCAAAGGGGTATTTAAATCGTGGACGCATAAAATGGGTACATCAATTTTTGTCGGAGAACTTTTTATTCGACAACAAAGAATGAGAAAACGTGTTTTTTGGGGTTCAATCGAAAGTGTTGGGAAGAACGAAAAAACTCTTCAAATAAGATTTTTAGGTATTTATGAGACCCACAGAATGAGAACACACGTAAAAAATCCGACTAGTAGTCACAGTTATGGACGAAAACTGAGGCAGGTTTTAGCACTTGATAATGCGACGATAGTTTCACGCCGATACTTGAAATCCTTCAAATTCGTAGGCTTCATACTTCTAAATAACGACAACAAAATTGGAGTCGATTGGTCAAGTATTTTTTGAGAATTTCTAGTTGTTTACCCCCTTCGTTTTCCGCATAAAAATAACAATTATCTTTTGGAATGGTTTTTGATCCATATCGGCAAGGTAAACTCATGTATTTGGCTATAAAATGCCCTTCGAACGAACCCTGTATATTGTTCAATAAACTAGTAGTCATGGCCGGAGGACAGGTGTTTTGGGATAAATAATTGGAAATTCTCAAAAACTACTTGACCAATCTACTCCAATTTTGTTGTGGTACGGAGTACGAAGACTACGGATTTGAAGAATTTCAAGTAGCTGCGTGAAATTATCGAAGCATTAGCAAGAAGAGCCATAACCTGCATTTTGCCTCGGTTTTCGGCCCTAACTTTTTTACTATTAGTCAGATCTTTTTACGTGATCTCATTCTGTAGGTCTCATAAATACCTAAAAATCTTATACTAAGTGACATATAAATCCGAACACCCAGTTTAAATGGTTTTATTTTAATAAGCCTTATCAGTTGGACATTCCGGTTTTTATACTGTTTTTTTTTAATTCACTAACGCTCTAAAAATGAATATTTCAGCCGCAGTAAAGAATCAACGTTGGCGGATTTTGGTTCTTGACATCCTTTACGATCGGTTACGAAGCCTAGAGTACGGAGACCTGTACGATTTCGTCAACTTAGTGAGTTTGACAAGGGCCGTATAGTGGGACTTCGGGAAGCTGGACTTTCTTTTCGGGCAATTGCAGTTAGAGTGCAAAGAAGTGTAGACACTGTGGCTAGGTCTTGTCAGGCATGGCTTCGAGAAGGCCGTACGCAAAGAGCAAGGGGCACTGGACGCCGCCGTAGAACAACAGACCGTGAAGATCGCCGCCTACGATTATTGGCCTTAAGGGACCGTTTCTCCACTACCAGGTCCATTGCAAATGAATGGTTTGCAGAACACGGAAGACCTATTGGCATGCGAAGAGTTTACCGACGAATGAGAAGTTTTGGCTTGTTTTCATACCGGCCACACTGGGTCCTCCCTTTAACTCGAGAACACAGACGTAATCGCCTTGAGTGGTGCAGACAATGGTCACTCTGGGATCAGGAATGGAACAGTATTGTCTTTAGTGACGAGTCTCGATTTTGTTTAGGCATGCACAATGGTCGTGCCAGGGTTAGAAGGCGACGTGGTGAAAGGAAGAATCCACAGTTTTTTGTTGAAAGACATGTTCATCACACTGTTGGAGGTATGGTTTGGGGTGCTATAGCTTATGGTTCCAGGTCACCTTTAATCTTCATCAGAGGTAACGTGAACGCGCAGCGTTATATCCACGAAGTTCTAGAACTCCATCTTTTACCCTATCTTGACACCCTGTCAGATCCAACTTTCCAACAAGATAATGCCCGACCACATGTTGCAAGAGTCACAATAGACTTCTTTCAACATAATGATGTCACAATGTTACCATGGCCACCAAGATCTCCCGACTTATCCCCAATTGAGCACGTGTGGGATATGATGGGTAGGAGATTGCTCAATTTGCAACGTCCTCCTCAGACTCTAGAAGCACTTCGAGAGGAGTTGGTGGTTGCCTGGAATGAGATACCACAGGAGGACATTGACCACCTGATCAGAAGCATGCCTAGGCGCGTTGGAGAATGCGTAGCACATCAGGGTGCATCCACACATTATTAAAGGTCAATCATTTTGAAATTTTTATCATTTACTTATTATGCTTCATTAAGTACTTATACAAAATTTTATTAAAATAAAACCATTTAAACTGGGTGTTCGGATTTATATGTCACAGTATATTTAAAGAACTTTTTGCTTCCTGACAACACTTTCGATTGACTCTCAAAAAACACGTTTTCTCCTTATTTGTTGTCGAATAAAAAGCTTTAACACAGAAATTGGTGTACCCATTTTATGCACCCATGTTTTAAATACCCCTCTTGAACAACTTGCATCAATAAAACCACACTTTACAATTATTTCGGGGAAATTTGCTAATGATTAGACTAATATACAAAAATAGGAAATGGCTACTCTATTGAAGCTAGATAATGCAGTAAAAATATTACCCGTTTAGATGATGACTGAGGAAACGTCAAAAAAACTACTATAGTATAATTGATGTAATTGTGTTAAGACGTCATTTTTGTGAGCAATCTGGTTTAAGTCCTTCAAAAAATATTTTGTGTCTACCAAGTCGAACATAGTAAACAACTATTTTGTTTTTGCTATGATAAACATTTAACTGAGTTCAATAATTACCTGAAATGAATCAATCATGATAGGGAACTGCTTCTCGTACAGTTCGGTAATAATCTTTCCAGTTGTTTGGAATGCCAATTCGACTATGGCTTCTTCTTGATCGCTAGCAGCCAGATGGAATACTGAGAAGATATTCTTCCAACCTGACCTTATATTCTTCGCCTGAAACAATCATACAAATCAGAATTATACAAAGGGTACTATAAAAGTTTTGCAATACAGCTTGATTTATTGACTTCGTTCAAAGTAATATCCACCACATTCAATACACTTCTCCATCCGTCAAAACCAGTCCTTAAACCAGATCTGTCAATTTTCAGTGTCCATTCTTGACTTTGGCCGCAGACTTTTCATAGACTCTATGACTTTAGGCAGGCACTGTTCCGTGTACCACTTAGCTGTTACTGTCTTCTGTGGGACCAAAACGACACGCTCCACAATCCAGCTCGATTTGAAATATGAAGCTATCATTTTTTTCTTAACCGATCGGGATTTTCTGACAGCTTCGGGTGTGTCCTCATCATCAAACACCCAAACTTTGTTTTGAGCCTTGGTCGGCAGATCGTAATAATAGAGTCAAGTCTCGTAACCTTTCACGATGCTGTTCACATACCGAGATTGCCTCTTATCAAACATTTTCAGCATCTTTCGGCACCAAGTCTTCTACTCTTCCGTCAGACTATGCGGTACCCAGAGAGAACAACGTTTCTTTACATGTAAATGATCAAGCAGAATTGAATGAATTGCTGGCGCGTGAAGGTGTCAGGTCTCCTCTTTCTGTTGGTATGTCACTCTCCGGTCTTCGTCAAGCATTTTCCTCACAGCAGTAATGTTTTCCTCTGTTATTGACGTTCGCGGCCTTCCTTCCCTCTCAGTGTCCTCCAGAGTGGAATTCTCTGTACTACTTGAATATAGTCGTACGATGAGGACAATCATTCTGTAATGCAAGCGTCATTTCTTCTAAGCACTGGTCAATGCTTAAACCACGCGTGCCATAGTCCGCAGTTTACACTGTCAATACGCATGAACAACTAAATCAACAGACCTGCTGCTGGCGGCTACTATGCACTCATGGACATGTCTCAACATGCAGTAACATGCAGCCTCCTGCATCTGTTTGTTGAGTCATATTACAAAACTTTTATACTCGTAGTTTGTATTAGCACTTTAACTATGCAGACACCATATAGCACCAAAATATCATTCACACTGTAAGCCTCCACTACCTTGCACAATATCGTACATTTCTGAAACAATTTTTTAAAAGGTTTTAAAAGCCTTAGAAGCAAAAATTGTTTTACCTGAGAATTAACCATTTGGGCGACGCACCTCACCACCATATCTCTAATGGTGGGCGACACGTTATTCTTCATGATGTATTCAAAGGGTCGAAGAAAATCTTTCTGGAAACGATAGTTCGAAAACTCTCCTTTTTCTATGAACTTCATAGAGAGCTGTCGTAAGCTGTCCACAGCGAAAAAGCAAATTTCTTCGTTCGGGTTGCACCCTACTGTGTTGAAGTGCTCGCCTAGCACCTGCCAAATCTTCGACCATTGCAGACGGATCCTACCTGTAATATGTCAACATTGAAAAATGAATATACCACCCTTCTCCTTGGTCTATTATGATACGGACCAAGATTTCAAATCCCACAGGTCAATAGAAAAATTGGGCGTAAGAGTTGTTGTTTGCCCGAAAAGTACAAAAATCATTAATAACATTAAGGTGGGATATCTCCGCCAATTTGCGAAATTTTGAGTTAAAATTGTAATCACTTCCTATTTATCAGTAGACCTAAAACTTGTAAAAGCATGCTAAAAATTACAGCACTCCTAGTCTGTGTTGCATTTTCTACGTCATTTAGTATATTATCATAAGGCTCTGGATACGAGGTAGCCCATTTATCGTGAAAAATATTTATTCTGCAAACTTTGAACCTCTGACAAGCAAATAAAGTAAACAAACAGCAAACCACAAGAATGACAAGTGGCAGCACTCTGATTCCCAAGGTTTCGAACACGGGAAGAAAAGTGACCTTTTCACGTTCCAGAAGGATTACTTTGTTCTATTTCCGAATACATGGAATTTTTACGTCAAGCAATTACAAACGCTAAAATTGCTACAGAGCAGTACAAAATACACTATGTAACAATTTACGAATGCAGCCCCGTATGCACTAGATATACACGCGCAGCTATCTCAATTGACATAGTGAACAATTTGACATTATGTGAGAAGTAAGATTTTTACATAATACTCCTGCAGAACTACTGACCTGCCAGTTGTTTTACTTCTAAGGTCGATTTGAGGAATTTTACAATATTTACTACTGAGCTAATACATTATTTTGATTTGGACAACCTACCACCACACGAACGTACTTACCCATATTATAATAGGAGATCTCGACGATCTTCTGTAAAGAAAACATCCTGGGATGCCCAGGATGAGCCAGTTCTTCCAGCGAGACTTTGCACAGCGCCTTGACGAAATCTACGATGGCGTCGCCGTCCAATCTTGTTGATCCAGTGAAGATCCTGTCGACGGCCACTACGACGCTCTGGGAACTTGTTTGTCCGATGTGTTCCTTGGTACTGGGATCTGGAGGTTTGTGGCCCGGCCCAGAAAGAAACTCGGGTCGGACACCTTTAGGTAGATCAATTTGATGACGGAATAGCTTTATTTGAGAAAATACAATGTATATGGGAGTGCAGCAGTGCTTTTTGGGTCGCTTATTTGGAATCTGGGATTAGTTTATCTTCAAGAGGGCATTTGATGGTCACTTCAAAGGTATATGAACGACAATTTCAAAAGCAGCTGAGCCCAACCACCTGTCATTTAGGTATTTTTCAGTCAGAGCCAGATGTCCTTTAGTCACTATGTGGTCATTTGAATGTCACTTTAAAAACAAATTCAGCCCAGATCGTGTCATATTCGAATTCAAAAAACAGTTGAGTAATCAATTTCGACCACATGCCATAGTATACCAATATATAAGATGATATTTCTCAATAGCTTGTCAAGTTGGCAAAAACTGAGTATAGATCTTATCAAAAATACTTCAAGGTCCATAAACTAGTCTAATCATATTAGCAAATTTCTCCGAAATAATTGTGAAGTTTGGTTTTATTGATGCAAGTGGGTATTTAAAACATGAACGCATAAAATGGGTACACCAATTTTCATGAGAAAACTTTTTATTCAACAACAAAGAAATGAGAAAACGTGTTTCTTGGGATTCAATCAAAAGTGTTGGCAGGAACAAAAGAATTCTTCAAATAAGATTCTTAGGTATTTACAAGATCACAACTTATGCTCGAAAATCTAGAGAAAATGTAGGTTTTGGCACTTGGTAATGCGACGATAATTTCAGGCAGCTACTTGAAATTCTTCAAATGCGTAGGCGTCATACTTCTCAATAACAATAACAAAATTGGAGTATACTGGTCATGTAGTTTTCAAGAATTTCTAATTGTTTATCCCAAAACACCTATTTTCCGGATATCACTACTAGTTTATTGAGCAATATACACGGTTCGTTCAAAGAGCATTTAATAGCAAAATACACGTGTTTACCTTGCCGATATGAATCACAAACCATTCAGAAAGATAAATGTTATTTTTATGCGAAAAACAAAGGTTACGTTTTTTATTATAAACAAATTCAAACATTCCGTATTTGTGAGTAATTGAACAGATGCGACACGATATTCGAAAAGCATACATTATTATACCCATTTTAAAGCAAAGTGGATGTGTCTATCACCATTTGTTGCGAAAAAAAAATTTATTTTCAGGATTTCATCATACTCTTATCTACGTATATTTAGAGCTGAAATTTCAACACGGTCACAGATGAGCCTTAAAGTTTATAAAAAAAAAATATTTCATATTGAAATGCACTAACTGTTGATAAAGTTAGCACGCAAACTGAATACAATTATGTTTCAAACTGTCTTAGCCTGGTTAGAATAGCATCGCATCTTCATGATAGGGAAACTCGTTCTTGTAATCTCTATGATGTTCCGTTACATAGTACTGAACAGTTTAAAAAGTCATTTACTTATGTTGCATCTACAATAAACAATTCATTGCCAGATACTGTAAAAAATTCGATCTCACTTAGCAGCTTCCAAAATAGAGTCAAATCCTATGAGAAAAGTGCACAATAGTTTCATTTTTGTTGTATTAATTACACCCATCGTTTTTATCTAATTGTTAGTTTAGTATTATTTCCGGGGGTTGCATGGAAGAGCAACTATGTTGAATGCCGCCCCCCTCATCAAATGAGTTTTTTTCCTTGTTATTCTTTTAACTAAAAAATGAAGACATTTTATTATTATTATTATTATTATTATTATGTCCTAAATGGCTACATTATTGATGACTGCATGACTACAAAGAAATATAATTCCCTGGAACTGTTTTCTAAAAGTATTAATATAGTATGAGGTTGTTTTCGAAATCTCGTACGATTAAAACGACTGCCAGTTCAAAATGTCGGAAAATAAACTCTAGAATACTAAAAAAACAGTAGACAAATACAATTGTAGCGAACTGACCATCTGAAAAATTAGGCAAAATGCTCTGTGTTAGTCCCTAATATATATTTAAAGTTTTAGCATTATATCTTGTATAGTTTTCGACATTATTCTAAGTGTTTATAACAGATTTGGATAGCGGTATCAAGATTCATTAAACCAAGAGGCATCGTAGTGTAGTACAAAGGAGTGACGGTTGCAAAATCGCAGGATGGAGGTTCCAATCCACAAAGCTCCCTTTTTTTATCGATTTTAAATTTGATAAAATAAATGCGTTTTCACATTATGTTTACTTTTATTGTGATCAATCAGCTTTTCGCACGCCATAGAAAAAGCAAACTTGCAAAATTAACATTCTCTAATTTTATTCATGTCTTCAAAGAATTTACTAAGCAGAATTTCGTACAGCAAGAGTGAGACACTGATATTTTCAATGAAATGCAATTTAGTTGCTGTCAGATCAGTCTAGATATTGTATCAGATTTGTTTTTTTTATCAGAAAAGGGCTCAAGTAATTTTTTTCTAAAGTTGTCCGAGTCTAAGAAGATACGACCCCGAAGAGTATTTTGATATTAGTTTATTTTAAACTGATTTTTAACCTTGTCTGTAAGGTAAAAATTGGCGAACTTTTGATTTTCGCAGAGTGTACATGAAAACAACAAAGAAGAAATGGAAGTTCATACCTTCTTTTTGTTTGCTTTGCATTCCTTATGTTTTCAACATTACATGCATTTTGAGAATAACGCAAGTTTTTGACAAAGTAACCTAAACACTGCTCTTCAATAACGCGGTAAAATTCTATACCTAAAAAGGTAGATCTATCAAAGATCAAATTACATTTTGCGCAGCCGTATAAAAACATGCATAAAACGATAAATGATTAAATTGACTTCCTCGTTTCATTTGGTGGAATATCAATGCTACACACCTGTGCCAATCAACTGAGCTAGTTCCAACTGAGATATACATTTCAAAATGTCCAACCAACTGGTGCCAAGGTAGTTTCCGTCGGTATGCGCCACCATGATCAACGTTTTGATAGTGTCAATGTTCTTGGCCTTCATATCAGTGATGGGCGAGTTAGCTGTGAGCAGCGTGAATCTGGCTAAGGCTTGGATGTAGGCGTCCCTTTCCAAGGTCATGTGGAAGATGCATACGATACGGATGGCACATCTGATACCGTCTAGGCACAGGGCTGCTACCTCTGGGTCGTCGCAATCCTGGAAATGAAAATATAATAAATAATTTTGATTTCACGCGTCATATATGAGAAAGTGTTTCTTTAAAAATACCGTAATCAATAATGCTCTGTTAGGATTTGACTTAAAGAGAGCAATACACACACACACACACACACACACACACACACACACACACACACACACAAATTCGCATCGGAAATCAAAGTGGTGATATTTCAACTTTCTTTTTATACAGGGCGATCCATCTTGTTGGTTAATGTTTGAACTAGGGTTTATCTCACGGTTGGCAACACTTACATCAGTTCTGTTTTGACATGAATTCAGTAAAGAGTCTGCGGTGAACGAATATGGATCGATATACACTTGAACAACGTTGGGAAGCGCTCAAAATTGGACGCTTGGACAAGAACCCCCATTTTTACCGAAAAATCATTTTTTCGGATGAGGCCCATTTTCATCTTGGTGGCTAGGCCGTTTTGGTGATGTGACTTGGCTACCGCGAAGCTGCGTTTTAACTCCGTTGGATTATTCCTTGTGGGGAATCGTAAAAGCTAAAAGCTATACGGATGCCTCAGCGACAATTGATCACTTCAAGACCAACATTAATGCAGCTATTGGTGAAATAATGTCGCAGACTTTGGAAAATGTACTGAAAAATTGAATCGACAGAATCGGCTACGTCAAGCTCAGCCGTGGCGCGCATATGAATGAGATTGTGTTTCATTATTAACCGGAAGGATAGTACTGTCAAATAAAAAAACCCGTTTGGGAAAAACTCTACGAAAGCCTAACTCCAGTTGGTATCGTGAAGCTATAAGGGGATATCGGGGTAGGAAGGGACATCACTCATCCACTAGCTAGGGAACATGTGTGAATAAGACATGATCGCCTTAGAAATCCGCTGGGTGGTACCTCCACGTTCGACAGTACGTTCTTTTTTCAGCAAGGGGTAATATTTTATTTTTCCAATCTCTCTTGTTTTTTAAGAACATACCTGCAGTCCTACACTGAAGGCTGCCAAGAACGACGTCCACGCCATTTTGAACATCGGCCTGACGTGTTCTAAATGTTTTGCTGTTGTAAAAGGCGCTTGGACATGTGAAACAGATTCCATCAAATTTTTCGCTGCTGTCGAGATCGCTTCCATTTCCATGTTAAACAAGATTTTTCGACGTTTCTCGCTGTTGATTTGCTGTTTCCCTGGCTTGTTTACCTGCATAAATGTAAAAAAGCATTGGTATGCGAAGTTATAAGAGGCGCTTTTATTATATACGTATATAGTTGGAGGAATTGTTTCATCTCACTTCGGATCAGAACTTTATTCACTTGTGAAAAAATACAACATGGCGTCTATAAGAAAAAATAAAGTTGATGCTGGAGGACAAGAAATGAAGCGTCATATTGGAATTAAAATTATGCCATCTTGTAAAGGAGAAAAAGGGGAAATGTCAATGTGCAATTTATTTTGAAATAAAGTCAGGAAAAAATTAAAACGATTTTGAGAAAATTCGGTTTTTTCGTCTTTCTCCGGAAGTACTTTGAATTCCTAAGCTTTCTAAGCGGCATTTGTGAGTTAACCTAAACAGGCAACTTTTCCCCCCATTTAAGCGATTTCGAATCTCTTACCGTTTTTGAGGTCCCAATGGTTAGGATCGAATTTGTGTATATAGTATCTAAGTCAACTATTACACACTCTGTTATCTTTATTATTCACCTTCTGTGGACACCCTCTATACCTTTACCTTACAGTAGAATGAGCATAAGTGAAAAACAGTAATGATTTGGAAAAATTAAAATTATGGACTTTGAATATGCACCATCTATTATATCAGCTGGTGATGTTACAGAATGAATATGATTTAATTATTAAATTAATTTTTTTAAAACAATATGGTCTGGTCAATATGGTGCATAAAATCTGGGCAACTTACTTATGCCCTGATATCATTACGTCGTCGTAGCATACATGTCATTAAAAAAACGTATTTATTTTCCAATTTTTTCGCTATTACGTCCTCACCAGCAGCGTGGAAAGCGAAATACTCCAAAGTATTTAAAAAATGACAATGCTTACAGTGTTTTTCATTTTGATCTCGTGTCCGGCAATTTCGTCGTAGATCTGCGACAGATACTCTTCAGGTACGTCTTTGCTCTCCGTATTCCCTCTGTTCAACTTGATGTATTGTTCTTTTGTCATTTTGTTCTTCACTTGGGGCGAATGCAGATCTGTGGTCAACATGATGATGGAAAACCCTAGCACGTATGCTGTGTCAGCACTAGCGAACAGGGTGTTACTGGGGTTGCATTCGCAATATCTGCTAGCGAATTTTTCCATTAATCTGCAAGATTTATAAAAAAATGTAAGATCGACGAAACTATGACATTCGATAGTTCCTTGTAGTCGGAAACTCCTTGTTGGAACTGAGTGACAATTCAGCTACAACAATTTGAGTCTGCCGTCGTCAGTATCATGGAGGATTTTTATGAACTACTCACCTGTCAATTTTCTGAGCCTCTCCTGGTAACCGGAATCCATCTAAAAAGTGCCTGAGGGCAGCTACAAAGTCCATATTGGCGAAGTCCATTTCGTCCACGTAAACGTACATGACTTGTTTGCAGTACTCGTCATTCTCCCCCAAAAACTCCCCTATGAAAGTTTTGTCCAATCTATCGTCAGTGTGTAGAAATTTCGCGACTTCTTCATGACTAGTGGCCAATAACCCCTGCTCTTGGAGGTACGATATGCCCTTACGTGGTTTTCTGTTGAATATGTTGATGCCCATCTCCCAAACCTAAGAAAATAAATTAATTTTGAACACAGGAAGAAAAAAAAAACGGCGTCAAGTAAGTTGACTTTGCACTTCGCACGCTACGCTGCCATCCAGACTAATATTGAAAATAAAGTGGATGGTGTTACTTAATCACGCCAAAATGGCTAAGTTGATCTGGATGAAATTTGGTACAAAGACACACTTCAGTCTGGAAAGCATATAGGCTACTTTTTATTCCATGAAATAACTTTGAAATATCTATTTCATTACTAGTGCCCAATAAGCCCGGCTCTCGGAGGTGTGATATGCCTTTACGTGGTTTTCTGTTGAATATGTTGATGCCCATCTCCCAAACCTAAGAAAATAAAATAATTTTGAACACAGCGAGAAAAGAAACGGCGTTGAGTAGGTTGACTCTGCACTTCCCATGCAATGCCGTCATCCTGACTAACATTAAAAATGAGAAAATATGGATGGTGGTTACTCAATCACGCCAAAATGGCTGAACGGATCTGGATGAAATTTGATACAAAGACACACTTCAGTCTGGAATAGCATTACAGGCTACTTTTTATCCCAGGAAATAATTTTGAAATATCTATTTAATGAGCTACAGCCCAAAACGGTTTACTGGAAGTTTGACAAGAGCCGACTGACGCGGAAGCGCCGAGTCGCTGGTCCGACCGAAATGATAAATGATACATAAATACGTCATTTACATCGTGCATTTACTGTTTAGGGTTGTATCCTTTTTTTAAACGAAAACTTATTATGTGAGTGATATCAAAGAAAGTTATAGGAAGACATGCTTTGATCATAGTAAGTCATAGAGTGTCAATTCCCTGAGATATCATGTTGAAGTCATATTTGAGGTCATCGACAAATTTTTTTCAAAAACTTGGTGGTTGCTAAATTTCCGGGATGATTGGCTATTTCGAAGACAGTCTGTTAATAAGGCAAATTCTACGATAATCTCATGGATAAAACTATGCCTATATCCTTCCTCAGGTATTAAATAATTAGTAAATTTACTCATTTGTACGTCTCTTCGAATTGTGGCTCAGACGTGATGATGACAGGCTGAGGAGACATTCAAAACTAGTGTGAATGATCCAGAAATAGCTGTAAAGTTATTTTTGACTACCTACAGGGACTTGCTGTTGAAAGTAACAGAAACAATTGTCACACGAGTATCAATCCCAAAAAAATAAAACCATGGATAAGCAATGGAATTATTGTTTCTGTGAAAAAAGAGATAAAATGAAAAAGGGACTTTTAGCAAATTATTGTCTTTGAAAAATCAGCATAAGGATTATCGTAATAAACTAAATAAATTAATACACAAACAAAAAACATACTATAGAACGCAAATTGAAAAAGTAACAATAACAAGAAAAAAATGAATGACATCATAAAGGATGCAACGTACGAAAAGGGTAACAAAGGTCAATCTTATATTTCTATAAATGATAATGATGGCAACCAGTTTACTGATTCTATTGAAATGGTAAATTTTTGTAATGAATATTTTATTGATGTGGGTGTTAACATGGCGCGGACAATAGGAAGATTCGACATTTTTCGTATGTCTCTTATTTTAATTAAAATCGAGGAATTTTGTTATTAAAAAACGGATTGGTGTCCCGCAGGGTACAGTTTTGGGACCGCTCCTTTTTATAATTTATATAAATAAGATGCTAAAGCTGGACATGGGGGTTTAACTATTTCTTATGCTGACGATTCTGTACTTCTTTTTGCAGGTTGTAGTTGGGAGGATGTAAAGTGTAAAACAGTGTATGGTCTAGGTATGGTAAAAGACTGGTTACAAGAGAGTAAAGTAACATTGAATTTATGTAAGACAGACTATATTACATGTTCATTCACCAATCAAAACAGGCCAACTTACAACACTATTATGTTGGATGATAATTATTCTGTCTCAAACTAAATATCTTGGAATCATTATTGACCAACATTTAAAGTGGCAACCACATGTTGATTATGTATCGAGTAGAGTGAGAAAATTAATCCATAAATTTTATCTACTGCGAGAGTCTCTCGATAAAAAAATTAATAACAGTTTATAAAGCATTTGTTGAATCTATGATTAGATATGGTATATTAGTATGGAAGGATTGTATAATAATGCTCTACATAAACTCATTATTATTCAGAAATATATTATTAAAATTATTTTTAAGAAAGAAAAAAGATTCCCCACTTATTAACTTTTTACAAACGATGAGTGTAATATTGGAACCTTGTACGTGATGACAGTATCTACTTTTATTAATAGAAATGAAAAATTACAGAAACAAGTAAGTCATAACTACTGTACTCGTGCAAATGTGGGCAGGCAAATAGAAATTCCCAAGAATAATAATAACCTAAACTTAAGATACATAACGTATATAGGACCAAAGATATATACTAAGTGACATATAAATCCGAACACCCAGTTTAAATGGTTTTATTTTGATAAAATTTTGTATAAGTACTTAATGAAGCATAATAAGTAAATGACAAAAATTTCCAAATGATTGCACTGCTTTAAATCCCTTTGACCTTTAATAATGTGTGGATGCACCCTGATGTGCTACGCATTCTCCAACGCGCCTAGGCATGCTTCTGATCAGGTGGTCAATGTCCTCCTGTGGTATCTCATTCCAGGCAACCACCAACTCCTCCCGAAGTGCTTCTAGAGTTTGAGGAGGACGTTGCAAATTGAGCATCATATCCCACACGTGCTCAATTGGGGATATGTCGGGAGATCTTGGTGGCCATGGTAACAATGTGACATCATTATGTTGAAAGAAGTCTATTGTGACTCTTGCAACATGTGGTCAGGCATTATCTTGTTGGAAAGTTGGATCTGCCAGGGTGTCAAGATAGGGTAAAAGATGGGGTTCTAGAACTTCGTGGATACAACCCTGCGCGTTCATGTTACCTCTGATGAAGATTAAAGGTGACCTGGAACCATAAGCTATAGCACCCCAAACCATAACTCCAACAGTGTGATGAACATGTCTTTCAACAAAAAACTGTGGATTCCTCCTTTCACCACGTCGCCTTCTAACCCTGGCACGACCATCGTGCATGCCTAAACAAAATCGAGACTCGTCACTAAAGACAATACTGTTCCATTCCTGATCCCAGAGTGACCGTTGTCTGCACAACTCAAGGCGATTACGTCGGTGTTCTCGAGTTAAAGGGAGGACCCAGTGTGGCCGGTATGAAAACAAGCCAAAACTTCTCATTCGTCGGTAAACACTTCGCATGCCAATAGGTCTTCCGTGTTCTGCAAACCAGTCATTTGCAATGGACCTGGTAGTGGAGAAACGGTCCCTTAAGGCCAATACTCTTAGGCGGCGATCTTCACGGTCTGTTGTTCTACGGCGGCGTCCAGTGCCCCTTGCTCTTTGCGTATGGCCTTCTCGAAGCCATGCCTGACAACACCTAACCACAGTGTCTACACTTCTTTGCACTCTAACTGCAATTGCCCGAAAAGAAAGTCCAGCTTCCCGAGGTCCCACTATACGGCCCCTATCAAACTCACTAAGTTGACGAAATCGTACAGGTCTCCGTACTCTAGGCATCGTAACCGATCGTAAAGGATGTCAAGAACCAAAATCCGCCAACGTTGATTCTTTACTGCGGCTGAAATATTCATTTTTAGAGCGTTAGTGAATTAAAAAAAAAGCAGTATAAATACCGGAATGTCCAACTGATAAGGCTGAAAATTTTTTCACTTGTTATTTACAGTAAGATAAATACATTCACCAACTTTTATTAAAATAAAACCATTTAAACTGGGTGTTCGGATTTATGTCACTTAGTATATAACATTCTGCCAGAACTCTTGAAAAATATTAAAACATTAAGCACCAGCAGCAGAGAATATATTTTTGAGAATGCTGCACAATTTGAAAGGTTTTTCTAATGATGTTTTTGTATCATAGTATGATTGATTCAATGTTCGGGATATTGAGATTAATTTTTGTTTTTTTGTTTTTTATAATCCAAATAATAGGATTTTCTTTTCATTTGAAAGACCGGATGATGAAAGCACATACAGGTGATTTCAACCATCTAGGTATATCTTTCTATCATCGGGATGTCCTTGATGAAGAGGAATTATACTGTTGTATTATTTATTTATGTGTTTATATTTTTTTGTATATAATCTTTATTAAATATTATTATTATTAAAAAAAAATAAGTAGCAAAAACAGTATGCTTAAATGATGTATAAATAGTGAAATAGAAGAATATAAAAAGTATGCGGCATAAATGTATAAGTAAAATAATCAATATATTGTCGTATTAAAATTTTGAACAAAACATATCTGTTACCAAAGTAACCATTGCATTACTTTGAATATTGTATTGCATTCTCCAAAACAAATCTACTTCAAACTAATTAAAGACGTACTTTACTTCCATTAAAGCGGATCCGCGGCCTTAGGCTAGTCAGTTCATAAAGGATTATGTTCAGCACAAGTTAGCCCCTCTGAGAAAAAAGTTGCGAAACGGGAAATTAAAAGGATCAAGTCAGTCAAATATACTAGAATAAATGTTATGCTGGCAGAACTGCAATATTCATATATCAAACATTTTCATAATCTACTTGGTTTTCATTTTCATATTCAAGTTGAAAAATCATGTTCTACCAAATCATTTGGAAAATTATAATGAATTGATCAATGAGTACCAGAGGAAGTATAGACTTTCATTTACAAAATTGCAATAGCAATATAACAAACAATATTTCAAAAAGGATCGTACGAATTTAATAAATTAAGTAATGATATCAAGATGTGTGCCACTTTGAAAATGTTCAAAGGGAAATTAAAAAATATTTCATGGAAAACAATAATTCATAGGAGTCAAATTTTGTATAAAAATATGTAGATAAATAATTATGTGATATATAATAACATTAATATTGTAGCATTAATGCTAAATAAATTTACAACAAACAATTAGCTCCGCCACCACTGGACCGATCATGGACTGAATCATAAGTTGTTGTTTCCCAATGATCGATTTGTAGTGTAAATCAGGCTTTATCAATGATTGTTTTTATTTTCAAAAATACTTGCTTATCAGGATTTTGACTGCCACCACAGCTGTTTCGGCGAGTGTTTGGGCGTTATTTCTTTAGTTGACTACAGAAAACGTGTAGTTGCAACTGAAATCATTCAATGTGTAACATGTGCTCCATATTCTAGGAAAGCTAGGTTTGTCAGTATTTTTTGGTATATTTCCGATTGAACCATTTAGCAATTACCTCTTTCTGTTGCTTAAGAACTTCCAGCTGTTCTGGGGAGTCCAATATCTCTTTATTCCCACTGCTCTCACTCGAATGCAGGCTATTCGAAGACCCACCATGACTCCTCAGTGATGCATTGTCATGTTCTCTAGGCTCTTGTTCGCCCACCGTGGACTGTAGGTTAGGATTAACATACAAGTCTTTACTCCATTCAACCATACATTTCAATATAGATACCAGACATTCGAGACCCTTCAGTTTCATTGCTCTTTCTTGATTTGGAGACACACCCAGTTCTACTGAGTGTCTACCTTGTGCCACCTGTGGAATGAAACTTCTATTATTCTCGAAAATTTTTCGATCCATCTCAAAAAGTAAGATATTTTATTTAATGAAATGAGAATGTTGGTGTTATAAACATACCTTAAATAAATCGTTGACTAGTCTTTCAAACAAATTTGCTGCAGCTAAATCACAGTCATAGTTTACATAAATGTCAACCACGCTCTGAGCATCACCACATATCCTGGTGAGTGCCTGTATTACCATCCACTTGTGCTCAAAAGATGAGTTTGATGTCTCCAGGATGTTAAGGAAGATCTCTTTGAAGAATACTTCGATCTGCATCTTCAGGTGCAATTTAAAATTTGACAACAAAGCCAGGAAGATAGCCAATGATAGCTCAAAAACTTTTGGAATGGAGCTTACGCCGTTTTTAGATAAAGCCACGCACAGGTACTGCTTTATCGCTGTTATGAACATTTCATTGGACCTGAAAAAATGTTCCTAATTGAGTTTTTTTACTTAAGCCTAAGTATAAATGTATACACCAGTACCTGGTGGGGACCACATGTGCACAGATTACCCCAACCATCAGGATCCACCTACTTGTTGGATGGAATACTTATATGTCACAATTTTCATTTAGAGTTGACACCCTTGATGTCTTATAACAACTTACCTGAAGACTGGTCCAGCGTTTTGTAAAATAGATAACAACAGTTGCAGAGACAGTATCTTTGATCTCAGCTCATGGGATTTGGGATCTGGTGTACCTTCAGGAAGGGGTTTCATGGAAAGTTTGCATAATGCTCTGAACACCAAGAAAGCATCTTTTTGAAGAATGTGGGCAAACTTAGCTGTAACAGCACAATCATTTTCGCTTTGTGTGTCCATACTTTCCTGGGATGGTATCCTGGAAAATGTCAAAGATTGTAGAATAATTCCCTCCTTCCTATTTTTATTGGAAACTCCTTAGACTTCTTTCATACATATAACAAAATCATTACATATGCTTGCCTTGTGATAGAGGAAGTAACACTCTGGGTCTCATTATCGCCACTGCTATTCACAGTAGTCGAACTTTTTCTCTCTGTGACTTCGTTCATTACTCTGTCTAGAACTCCATCTAAAATCTCAGCCACAACTAACTCAGAATTATTATCCACCTCCTTAACTTGAGGAATTTCAAGTTTTATTGTATTTGCTTCTTTGAATTCTGAAGCACTGCCATTGCATATTTTCGTTTCATTAGGCACCTATACAAATAAAGAATATATCACATATATTATAGCAGATCTGTGTATGTCAAAACATCATGTGTTTCATAGATAAAAGTCTTAGGTTAAACCAAGACTAAAAGTTCAGTAAAAATCTATTTAGGGATAGGAATTAAATATATTTTGTTTAACTATTTTTGTAAACATACTAACTACTTGACAGTGTGGAATAGTAATTCTTACATTTGCCTGAAGTTCCGCTTGTATTTCCGCTTCTAGAGCCTGGTTCTCCATCCTCGTAAAAATGACGTTCAGCATCTGCGTCAATGTGGCTCGTGCTGTAGTTTGATTGACAAGATTTTTGCTAGCCAAAAATATGTTGTAGCATGTTCGAACTGCCATGAGAACAGTCCCTTCATGTACCTCCACATGTTGACTAGTAACTACCGTCAATAAGGCTTTTATTATTTGCAGCTGAACACCTGAAGCATAAAAATTGTTTGTTTTAATGAACGTAACAATTGACTGTGACAACAGTTATTCGAACAGTACCATATTCTAGAGATACTGGCTGTTAAACTATTCTATGAGTGGCAAAACAATATCAAATCGCACACCAGCGTTTTAAATGCATTAAAGCTTCTAAAACCTATGTCCATCTGGCCATGTCCAACATCTTTGATACACACCAAAAACTATGTCACACGTTCTTCAGATTAATTCCAATGAGCCAAGAAAGAATAATCTCTAACAATATACATCACTGCCAGCCTAAGTGTTTGACTACCACTGGTTCTTATAATAGCGAGTTCAGACTGAATATACTTGCACGGAAACCTCCATTAATGGTTAATTTTTTAAAATACAAGCATGCTTTTCCTACCACTGTTCAGAATTCAAGTTGCACTTTTCACAAGGGCCAAGGCTTATTGCAAAAATGCTGTGCTGATGAAAAAGGCAGGGAATGGTTCAATCTTTGATTGCATCTAGTGTTATGCTTTGGGGTGCATTATCAATTTTCATAGCTAAGAAACGTCTCATAAGACATTATGTAGAGAATATTTTAGAAGGATGTACAATTATTTGTACTACTACCTTTCACTTGTCTCATTCATTAGGAAATATTCAAACTTATTATTTGACATAACTGCTACTTTCATCACTATACAGATAATATGACAAGTGACACCACAGGAAGTGGTGAGTAAATCATACCTCCACAAGCTTCCACATTTTTCAAGAAGGACCCGTTATACATGGCCATAAAATATATAAAAGAAATGACAATCGTGGGAACAGGATCAGAAATTGTTAACCCGAGCGACGTACGTTTCTATTTATTGGCTTCAAAAGGGCCCAAATGGATGTGTATTAAAAAACGAAAAGTGAACACATATGCCCTTCACATCTGGATATGGGTGAAAACAAGGATGGAAAGGGAAATACAACTAGAAGCCACCAACAAGAGCCAGCAGGCACATTTGTGGCTTTGATAAAAAGACCTCATGTTTACAAGGTATCAACCAACGTCTCCATGGAGGGCAGCTATTGTTACCTGTTGTGGCACTTCAAGCCCATGAGTAAATACAAAGAAATAGAAGGAGTCTTATACAAAACTTAAAAGGACAATCATGGGCATGTTTACAATAAAGGAACAGGAGCAGAAATAGAAGGACTGGTAACCCGAGCAGCATTCGTTTCTGTTTATTGGCTTCATAAAAGTGTATAACATGAGCAACAGACAACAATAACAGTGCACTCAATCTGCTCACTTTCAAGTATGCAACTGTCAGGTATCTGTTGGGAACAGCTTGTAAGATTTTGACTTCAAATTTAATGTGTAATTTCGTAAAGCATTTTGTCCTGTTTTGTTTAAAATTTCAACTATATATTAATTTTATTTCATTATTCCACTTCCTCCTTGAACATCTATTTTTGATGTTGTTTGTTCTTAAGATTTAGTTGGTAATAAACAATATCTAAATTTGAACTCAATGTTCTATCCAAACTAACAGTTAATAACTTGATTAAATGAATGTGACCCTGATGAAAAAGACTTACCCTCATCTGTTTGGGGTCCAGTGAAACAAGCACATATTGTCTCGACAATGCGGTCAATCAGCAGTTTCCCAGGTGTGGTCGAGTCAGGTACATTAGCAGTCAGATGACCATAAGCAATCAGCTTTTGAAGGCAATCCAATGCAGTCACCACAATCCTGGCAGATTTGCTTTGGCAAGCCAATTCAAAGGGAAGAAAGTATTTCTCAGTGGTAAGTGCACTGACATTTCCACTTTTTGGTTGGGGCAAAGCATCTGAGACTTTGTCTTCTGTTGGAGATGTTTCTTTCTGTTCTGTTGATGTCTCATTCTTAATTTGTTCTAGAAAATAAAAGACTGGCTAAATGGAAATGTGTTGAAAGTTTGGAATATATCAATTAATATTAGATTGTCAGCGATGTTTCGAGTTCCAGTTAATTCTCTTTTTTATCTTTAATTGCTTCCTAATTATTTGATAAAGTAACTCAGTTGCATAACCAATATTTCTGTTATTTTTACTTTTGTATATTTTTATTATTTATTTCAAGGTAAGCATCATCTTTTCAGTGCTGATTGGAGATACAGTGTTGGTCAATTATACACAAATTTAAAAAAAATAAACATAGTGAGACAAGTTGAAGTGTACAGAACTGAGCTATATTTACCTGATTTTTTATTATTTGTAAAAGTAGCAGGTCATATCATTTTTTGTATTTACAATATATTATACAAGACATAGAGCAATAATTAATTGATACTTAGCAGATCATATTTGTATTATCTCAGGAAATCATCATCAAAGGCCATTATAATTTCAGGTGAGATAAAACTTGTAATGGTTTACATATACTATCCATAATTTCAAAAAATCTAGGAAGTACTTCTTAAATGTGGCTGTGAGTGTTTCATCAATATTTATTATTGAGAAAAAATTATTTCCAAAAATATCAGCTTTCTTTTGTGTCTTAGACTAACTTTTACCTTTAAATAAATTATTGACTTTAGCTCTCTAGAATGTTGACAATCTAAATTTTATTCAAAAATAGCTTTATTAAGCATTAGTTACCATTTTGATTGCCAGCCAGAAATTATGAATGCTGCTATAGCTCTTATCACAGTTTTTGGGGGTTATGTCATATGAAATAAATAAACACATTGAATAATGGTACCATGTGTTAGTTTTACTCCCTAAAGAAACTTGCATACTGCGCAAGCTGATCTGTAATGCAGCTGATACTTGCTCTTACACAGATGCATGAATCAGATAAGAGAGTGCCACTGTTTCCAATCACCTTCTAAAAATACTACTCAATACATACTGTCAACACTCTAGATACATCTTTTGATATGTGTTTTATATTGAAGATGAACATTGATACAAGTGTGATATGACATGAAAGTTGTTATATGGACAGTGACAAACATAAATTCATGTGTTGACAAAAAACATTTCAAGGCAGTGAGACAAAACTAAAATACCTACATGCCTTCAAGTTCACAGGCATAGAGGCTAACTGCATTATATGTGTCTGAGGGAGATATGGATGTATGAGAAGTATTGTGACCTGCCAAAAACTGTGAAAAGACCTATAAGTAGTTTTATATATACTGTAGGTAAATATACAAAGATTTGTTTTGCTGAGACATTATCATAGAATGACATCAAGCGGCAAGTCTAAGGAGAATTTTAATAAGAACATAACTTTTCATTTGTGGCTATACCAAACTATCAAGAGTATCATTATCTTCCTTGTTTACTCAATTTGTTAATGGGTGCTTCTATTTTATATTAAAATATTAACTTCAATGATTAGAAGCTCTCATTTCCCTGATTCCTACACATCATCGCCACGTTTAAAAACAAAATATCTACACAAAACTCACCTAAAGCAGCTTCGCATGCCCTTTTCAGTTGCGAATGGTGAGATCTCTTGATCTCCTTGTCATTCAATATTTTCTCCAAGGCCCTCAATATAAACATCTCTTTGGTTTTTGAGTTTGATTGCATTTTACCAGAGGATGATAGATTTAATTAAAAGGTGAAACCTCACAAGCATTCCGATCGTTTGCAAGGGTATTTTAATCGTGACGTGTATGAAAACAAATTATTGAACGCAGCGCAATGGGGCGCATCCTTCTGTTGGAACTACTGCAAACCTTCCTGAAACGTGAAAATCAGTTGGGAAGAGTGAAAGGGTAATTTATATGCACATAATATATGAATTTGTTGCACAATGCAAGCTTTTTAATTAATTTACTTGAAGCTGTTGAAAAGAAATATTTTTACTGAAGATTGTCAAAATTTGACGTTTCCCTGACGTATCACATGTGCTGCATAAAACGATAAAAATTAAGGTGAGTGATGATTCAGATATTCATCTTACATCTCAAGGTCAAGCCCGCCATCTTTACCCCAGTGAATGAATAGTGAAGTCACTTACAATTTACACTTTACATCGATGTTCTTCCATGGCATGGGCAAACATGATATCGTTAATTAATTACCCAAAAACGTATTCCTATCCGTCATTTTTATCCGTGCAATCCTAATTAAATTACTGTTTGCGACACCCAAATTTGTGGTTATCACCTAAAGCTGGCCATACTAGATCATACAATTTATTAATTAATGGTTGGCGATACTGAGTTATCAATAATTAATCTATGGTTAGCAACACTCTCTAGAAATTAGACTGGCAATGTGAGCTGTCGGTTGATTTAGATTGTAGCAATGAAAATGACCGAGAATAATATGCTTTTTAATAATAATTATAACCTCCATCAAAACAATTGATCTGCCTATGGAGCAAAATGGTCATAAAGTGTCATCTAATTCATCCCTCTGAATATCGCAAAACATAAATATTCACTGAATAGTCATAACTTGTTTCGTGGTGATCTAGTTCACTGTGGTTCCGTGTCAGACACGTAAAAGTCACACGAGTCACACGTCACATGCTTACAATACAAGAAAATAGACAAATATACAAGATTTCAGAAAAATATGGACTTTAAAAAGCTGCTTTTACAGTTTTATTGCACTAAATGATATTTATATTGAAGCATGTCGTGGATCAATTTCAATGACAGTTTGAATTCCATCAAGGGTCATATTTCCACATTTGCAAATAATGTTTTGACAGAGGATGATGGTAAGCAGGATGCATTTGTGAAATATAGGGTATTTACTGTAAAATCTACCAAGTCAGCAATTTCGTTTTGATTGCAGAAGCTCAGGATACTCCCAGTGTCAACTACAAAAAGTTATATGAAGACCAAAAGCAAGAGGTGAGCAAGTGTCTTCCTTTAAAAGTTATGAATTATTGCATGAAAACAGTTTTTAGTTTTTACTTGCTAAATTCAAAAACCATTTTTGATGAACTTTTTAACTGCTACAATAATTACCTATGTACAGGTGCATTAACAATACGAGTAACCTTGACTGTTGACTTGAAAAATAAATATCAACATTATTTGTGCTATAATGATGCATAATTCTATAAGTTTTTGTCTAGAATTGTGCATTATACTACAGTGATTTTTTTCTAATAATACTGTTGTATTCCAGATAGAATCCTTGAGAGCAGCTCTACAAAAACAGGAAAATCAGGTAAGTTACTATTGAAAATATTCTATGTTGAATGCCATGGATCAAGTATATAATGACATTGTATATATTGTAATTAGATATAATCATATTTATGTAATATGCATATGGAGTTTCCAGTATGCTGATATTTGTGTGTAAAGTGAGTAAAATCCAGAAAAGTGTCTCAACCAATAAATATTGGAAACTCAGCTTACCATGATGATTCATACAAGTACATATACAATCCACAAGATATCTTATCTCAAATGAGATATCTCTTAACTCTTGTTAATATGAGGAGTTTAGCATTAATATATCTTTATTACTTTTCTGCTTAAATATCTGAGTTAGTAGAAATCATTTATTTGTCATGATCAAAACTTGCATTTCTAAAAAGATAGTCCACATCCTGATCCATGGTCGAAATTTTGTATTCTTTTATGTTCTTCGATAGTTCTAGTTTTGAATTTATAAACATCTAACTGTAAACTATCATAATTCATGTCATCCAAATACCTGTATTCACTGTCATTATAAAGCAAAGTAAATTTCAAGGTAAGCTTTTATAGATAACTGTGATATTTTTGTACTGTGAAACTCCAATGTTTAATGGCATGTTATTGAAAAAAAAAAATATCAGATTTCAGCAGGGATTTCAGTTTTCTGCTGGAATGGCAGGAGATCAAAAAAATCGCCATTTTTTTTTACTTCAAATATGTCTTTGCAACACTTTATCCTTTGTTGGTAGCCATGTTTTAAATAGGCATTCCATATTGTCCTGGTGTGCTGAGTAAACTGTGTTGTAACTTTAATTATATTTAATTTTAAGTTTAGTCATCTTAATGAAAACAATTTTCAAAAATCTTTGCATATCGTCAATGAAATATCGCATAATTAAGAGTGGCTCAACCGCGTGATTACAAAAAAATCAAATTTTTTTTTCGCGTATAGGATCTTGGCAGTGATTGGCTTCATCCCGTGAGTTCAGGTGAGCGCATCAAACAGTAAAACCACTTTAAATGACACAACACAAAACAATTCAGTTATAATGATAGAAAAAAAATTCACTCTCTTCCAAAACTGATTACTACCAGATGACGCAATTTTAACCACTATTTGTTACGTGAGATTACAGTATGACTGAGATTTCTGCCGTATCGGCCGGAATCTGATTCTTAGGTAAATCACGAAACTGATAACAGTTTTTGCTGAGATTGACGGGAAGCCAAAAAAGTTCCAATTTTATACTTTAAATAGGATCTCAGGACGTCTTAGCATTGGCAATTTGTAAGAGGAACAATATCGGAACCAAGACCGATTCCTGAGGTGCAGCCGCGTTGACGTTGTGGGATGAAGAGGAGAACCCGTCAACTATGACAAATATCTTGCGGCCAGAAAGGAAATCAGCTACTACATGCAAGGCCTCCCAGGACGCCATAGCATGGAAGTTTGTATAAGAAAGAGGGCAGCATGCCACATCTGATCGGACGCTTTCGTGATATCAAGAACAACGACATGAGCCTCACCATACTGCCTGTCGCTAATCAAGCCGTTCGGGTGCTCCAGAAGCTGCCCGACTTATGCACTTCTTTAACACCTTACTTATAAAAGAAAGCAGAGCTATAGGCACGTAGTTGAAAGGGTCGGTCTTAGATCCTTTTTTTTTGCGATGGGTTGAACATGAGCAAATTTCCAGTTTTCTGGAAAGGTGCCGGATTCATAAGATATCTAGAAGAGACTCGAAAGAACTAGAGCAGGCTCCGCTGTGCACCTCTTCAATACAAAGGCAGGAATCAAGTCCGAGCCAGAAGCTTTGTTGATATCGAGCGACAAGAGCACTCGGCTCACAGTATTATGCCTGAATGCTTCCCGCATAGTGTAGGGCTGTAGTGAACTCTTCGAATCGACTGCGTTCGGACGTTGGGGCGTCCATGGGGTTTTGCGAGCGTTTGACAGTCGTATTCGGAAGGAGGCATCACGAATTCCTCTAGAGTTTAGAGATTCTTTCAATGGGCGAAGAACATTTTGGACAATTCTTGTGTATCTTCAGTGTCGACCAAATAGCGTTTCTTGAGTGAATCATGTAAGCCGATCATGGAGATCTGATGTCATTTCTTTGCCGAATTGGACGGTAGGCACCAAGAGTCCCATTTGCTGGCCAGTGTACCGAGTTTCGCGCGCTTGTAGCTACGGAGCACGAAAACTAAATTGTAATATTGAATTGAACTTTTATTATTTATTTTACTGACCAATGAAACGGTTTATTCCTTTTCTTTGCTCTTCTCCATTTTTCTTCTATTTCCCTTTCTCTTTTTCCTTGACGTTGTCTGGTTTCTGGGCATTGGGCAACCAGTACTGACAGATTCGACTAACGTACATTGGACACTGACTAATGGGCAAAGGTCCTACGGACCGCCCAGACAAACAAATGACGAATATTAGTACGGTTTATTCCACTTTGTAAAAACTTCTGGAGCTGTGGAGAGCAATTGCGGGGAACAATGCTAGAACCAGTCAAGTCCATTTTCTATAATTTTACAGGAGAGCAGACCCGGACTTGACTTGTTTTTGCAACGTTTGAGAGAGCAGGCAACCACCAATACATTCATAAATTGGTTATTTTTAGGGTTACATGTCTCGTTTTTGTACAGCCCCATAGATAATTTTAAACTGGGTACAAACATGATGTTAACTATATTTGCCTACAAAATGGACTTGTCCGGTTTTGCATTAGACCCTTAAATTCTACTCTATAGGGTGTATTCCACATGAAATGACTATATACATTTTTGTTGAGTTAGTTTGGAAATGTTTTCGTTTAACTGTTTCCGTCGCTGGAAAATGTAGAGTTCGACCAATACAGGATTTTTGTCGATACCGATATACAGGGTTTCAAATTCGACCCTCACCATTGCGGTTTTGAAAAATGTAAGAGATACAAAGTCGCTTAAATGGGGGAATGTTGCGTATTTAGGTAATCAACAAAATGACGCTTAGAAAGTTTGAAAATTCAAAGTACTTCAGGAGAGAGTCAGAAAAAAACGATTTTTTCCAAAATCGTTTTAATTTTTTCCTGTCTTTAATTGTAGTAGGTTTTCAAAATAAATTGCACATTAACATTGCCACTTTTTCTCTTCTACAAGATAGCATAATTAGAATTCAAATATGACGCCATATTAAATTTATACGCAGATGAATAGAGTTTTTAGTTTTGAGTTCAAAAATGTATCATATGCCATACATTGATATTGCCGAACCTTAGTTACTTTAGAAAAACAGAATTTCCTAGGTAGACCTTGAAACTATCAGATTTCATTTATTCGGTATATCAGATCTAAAATTAAACATAGCAACCGAGTTTGGAAGACTGAGAAAGAGACAAATACACCGAGCACTGACCAATGTACAGATGAGAGTCAGGATTTGCTTACAAAATAAACATGAACATCTACTATGATTTACCTCTGCTTATTTATGATTGTTATTACCAGCAATAAAATTTTCATGTTGTGTTCAGGTTTCACCTTATCTTTGTATTTCCTTATAACTTTCATCCAAAAACAAATTGATGGCCAACTAAAGAAGTCCATATAAAAAACAAAGATGGTGCAATTTATTTTGAAATCTCATCTCAGATAAAGTCCGGAAAAAAGTGATTTTAGGATAAATCTGGTATCCGAAACCCGAAACAAATGACAATCTGATAATTTCAAGGCCTTCCTAGGAAATTCTGCTGTTTTTTAATTAAATAAAATTTGACGATGTCAATGAGGTATGATACATTTTTGGAATCAGAATTAAAAACTCTATTCATCTGTGCAACAATTCAATACGGCGTGCTTAAGAAAAAATAAAGTTTATGCTGAAGGTCAAGAGACGAAACGTCATACTGAAATTCTAATAATGCCATCTTGAAGAGGAGAAAAAGTGGCAATGTTAATGTGTTTGTTTGTGGGTGTGTTTGCCTGTCGGTCGATGTGTCTGTCTAGCGGCCTGTCTGTCGGCCTGTTTGTTTGTAGGTCTGTTTGTCTGTCGGTCGGTCTATCTGTCGGCATGTCTATCGATCTGACTGTCGGTCTGTGGTCTGTCTAACTGTCCGGTTGCTGGACGGGTCGAGGGTTTTGGTAGTGCGATATCTATTATGCATTCGCGCAGAACGTCGAGCAGGTAACGTAGACGTTTTTCGTCATGATTCGTCGTAGGGGATGATGATCATCAACTTGACACACTATTGGTAGGCGGAGATCGTCAGATTTGTCGCCGACCTCCGCCAGAACAAGACACTTGTTTTTACTTTCAACGCCTACTGGGAGGGAAGTATTGCAATCATGAAAATTTTCTAAAATGAGTAACTATGTTTTTTGTATCTTATATGACATGTACATCAAGAAAAACCATGTCACTCATTTCCATCGGACTGTCTGTCTGTCCACTAATATAAGAAGTGGCACTCGAATTTCGTTGAAATTTTCATAAAATGTTACTACTATGCCATGGACGCAAAAGTTTTATAGTTTTTGAAAATTGGTCCAGTGGCGGCGGAGGAAAAGGCAAAAAATGATCAAACATCGTTTTTTGACGTTTCACAGGATCCTGATTATTTTTGGAAAAAATATTTGTAGTAGTTGAAAATTGGGGGTTAGGGGTTGCAGGGGGTGGGGGAGGGTATATCTCAATTTTTTGATGATGATGTATTTATACACCTCCAACCCCAGTAATTCTACGTATATATTACGCATATTTCACACATCATAGATGTCCCCGTACATGTACCCTTAAAGCTTAGATAAAAGGTAGATTTCGCATTAAAATAAAACACTGCCTATGAAGGAAAACAGCGCAGCATTGCCAGGTCGCTTGCAGTCTTGTTAGTCTCATTACTTGTCTACCACACCTCGTATTTCGAACAGCAACTCTTTTGGCTGTTATGGGCGTTATAAAAACAAACCATTTCTATCGCCCTGTACATGCCCAACGGTTTCAGTCCTAATCTATATGCCTTAGTGCTTTTATCGTGGTGT